TCGCTGGTAAAGGTTTCAGGGTCTTTATTAATCCTTAATTTGGGGGCGGTAACGGATATATTGTCGTCGTTAGGTAAAGGGATAAATTTAGGTGGGATAATTTTTAGGCGGATAACTTTTTTAAAATCCTTAATAGTATTATTCTTCTCCTTAATTTTGGAAGTAACGTTTTTTTTAAATTTATTATATACTTCGTTAACATTATAAAAAAAAATATTAATATCGACGTAATTACTTTAAGTAATTATAAACTACTTTTCAAAGTAAATAACTGTATTATTTAGGTTTATAACTTTAATATTAAAATTAATAATTATAACGTTCTTATTGATAAGTACGTCTTCTACGGCGGTAATAAAATTATTAGCCTTAATTATATTTTTGTAAATAAATTAAGTAAGTGTAATAATTATGTAAGGGAAGGCGGCGTAGTAAGTAAATTGTAAAGCGAGGTCGAAAATAGATTATTTAATTAAATTACCCGGGTTTTAATTACCGTTAAGGGCCTCGGTAATATTATTAAATAATTATTCGTACGAAGGGTTAATAATTAAACCGATAATAGAAATTATAATATCGGTATCAATAATAAACGATATTGATTGATGTAATTAATAAAGTGAAAGGGGAAGGCTACTTTATAATTTAAAGAATAATATATTACTTTATAGGCGTTCTTTAGGAGGATTGTAGTACTATCTTAGTATTTTAGTTTATTATGGTATAATGAAGTTTTATCGCGATATAACGAGGAATCGCGGATACGTTAGAGAATTTTACGACGGCGGCGATAGAATTTTTAAATAAAATTATATATTCGTAGCGTGATGGTAGGTAGAATTAATTATTATAGGATAAGGCGACGGTTAGGGGGTAGGTTAGATATATATAATTGTACGAGGAGAGAAGGAGAGAGGTGTACGCAGGTCTGGCGATATAGGGCAGGGTACGAAGGCTATACTTAGAGCCAGGACCAAAGTACGTACATATATACGTAACGTGCTATTGGCTAATGGTAATAATGGTACGGTACGAGGCTCGACTGCCTATGGCGGGAGCCGTGTATGTGCAAAGCAGTTATAGGTAATCTTGTAATAATCTAATAATTTCTTAACATACGAAAAGGTATTAATATTCCTCTTTACTATTAAATAAGCGTTAACCTTTCATATAACTATTTATATAATAAATTATAATCTAAAAATAATATACTGATTAATCATCCTTTTAAATTAATATAATAAAGAATATTTACCTTAATACTAGGGTATTTTATTAAGTCCTCAATTCTTACCTAATTTTAATATTAAAGAAGGTTCGACTTCCTAAAGCGGAAACCCCCTTCGAAATTAAATTTAACCCCAAACTCTTTCTATACTTTCGTAAAGTATTAAGTGCGTTCGATAGGTTATATTTTAATGTAAGGGTTACTACTAAGGGGTAGAAGCTATAGTGTAAATATAAGGGTAATGTATTTATAAACGTTATATTAGCGTATAATTTTGTAGGGAGGATTACGTACGTATTGTTTGGTTAGGAGGGCTCCGCCAACGATATACGTGTTTTGAATTATACTATTGTATAAGGCGGGTTTAGTATCCCTAAAGGCTTCGTTTACTTAGCCGACGCAAATTATAATAATAGTTCCAAATTGCTTATATTATACTGTAATATACAATACTACCTATAGGAAATAGTTCGAACTAGCTTATGACCTATTATTTCCAAAAAGTTATTTAATTTACGTTACTCCTAATATCGGATAATTATCGAAAAGATAATTGGGAAATTAAAAGGGACTTTTAAAATCTATTACGTTACGCCTTCCTTCTCCCCAAGAATATAAATTAAAATCGTATATATTACCATAGCTTTATTAATTGGATTTTAGAATAAAATATATATAATTTCGAACCGGAAAATATAGAGGCAGATGCGTTTAATTTTAAGAAGCGCGAAATTGTAACGGAGTTTATACCCTTCGTCCTTATGACCGATATAATAAAGGATTAGGAACGGATTAGAGGAGTTAATAATTAAATAAATTAATAGTGCAACCGTATTATTAAAAGAATATAGAGTTCTTACTATAAGGAGCTACGTAAAAGAGGAGAGCTATAATAAAAGAGGGGAAATTAAAAGAGGGAGGTTAAAAGAGGGAGGTTACAAGAGGGAGGTTAAAAAAGGGAGGTTAAAAGAGGGAGGTTAAAAGAGGGAAATTAAAAGAAGGAAGGGAGAATTGGGGAGTAAATATATATATTTAGCGCCAACCGCCCAAACTACCCCCTAATTTGTTCGAATTCAATAGAATCGTATTTATTAAACTATAAATTCAAATCGCTGGATTACCCCCTAGAGTGTAACTTTCTTAAAAAATTAGTGCCTCAAATACTTAATTAGAAATTTTAGAAATCTTTAGATTTGAAATATAACGATATATTTAATATATTTAATATATTAATAAATATTAGCGCCGTTTATATATTTTTAGCGACCTGTACCCTCTACTGAAGGTATTTATAGAGTTATTAATATTTTTTACAAATATACTTCAAAATTAATATAAAGTATATATATCGATTTAGTTCGTTCTAACAATTAAAATAATAACTTTTTTATATATATACAATTTTTTTAGTATTAATATTTTGGTATAAAAGAAAGATAAGAAAGATAATAAAAATTAAATTTAGGGTCGTTCCTCCTTCCTATTCCCTCCCGTTTATAGGAACCCTATTTATATAAGTAAATTGTTATAGTACGCTACAATATAGCGTATTTATAGGTCTTATTGTAAAGTAATCGAATATAAAGCTAGATCGACTAAACTAATATTAAATATATTAAAATCCTCTTCCTATACTTATAAGTTTAGTAAATCCTCTTTATTAATAACCTTAACCCCTAACCGCTTCTTTAAAATTCGAAAGTATACTTCTTTCCTCTTCTTCGAAATAATTATGAAACGATACGCTTTGGTTTTAAACTACTCCTACTCTTAGAAAATAAATTCTACGATATTTGTATCAATTCTTTTTATCTAATTTTTGTTAAAGATATTAATTACTTTTCTAAATTACTTATACGATAGTACGGTGGCGATAGGCTCGACTTGCGTCTACGATTATAATATTTTCTTGGTCACAAATAGGGTATTTATTAAATATTTAAAGGATTTGATAATAGCGTTACTATTAAATTTCTTCTTTTTCTTCTTAGGGTTAGATGGGCTGGCGGTTTTCCTCTTACTGTCGCGAACGTAAATAAATACTTTTAATTCCCTATTAAAATTTTTATTGTTAGAATTGTACAGCGTATTTATTAGTAATACGTTTTTACATAACAGTAATACGTTAAATATTAAAACGTAACTTCTAATAGTACTCTAATTATTAGCGAACGCCTCCTCTATAAAAATACGGTACGGGAGGGTTTTATAGTAGAATTGTTAATATTCTTTATAATTCTATTATATTAGCGAATTAATATATTTATTATAATACCCTTTAAAAGTATATTAGATTAACCTTTAGAAAAGAATCCTAAATAGTATTCTCCGCGGTATATAACCCCGTTTTAATGTCGTATTCGAATTTAAATTAGCTAACGTACCCCCCTAAAGTTTACTAAGTACGCTATTTATATTTAAAATAGTTAACTTTATTATAAATTTAACCGACGTAGACTTCTATCCTGTATTTAATATAAAGGGTATTAACGATATTATTATATATTGTCTTTTTAAAGCCGCTTTTGTTTATAAGGCTATCGTCGCTAATATTTTAATATTTATAATAAAAAGATTTTTTATATTTTAATCTATTACTATAATTTTTTAGGGGTCTTCTTGTTAGTAAATCTAATAGAGGGGGTAAATATAATTTAATTAGATTAGGTAAAAGTAGGCGCTGCCTAATTAGCTATTTGTAATTAATTGGTATTGCCGGCTATCCTATTAGTAAATCGAGCGAGTCTTAATCGGTGTCACAGGTTGACATTAGCCTTATAGTGTGCCTTACGAGTTCTGCCTAGCAAGCAGAACATCGTCCTATCTTTTAGGTTTGGCTCACTAGGCATATGCACCCTAGCCTGTCATAGTATGTTCTACTTAACGTGGGGAGGTCAGGGGTTCAATTCCTCGTAGGGGCATTTTTCGAGAGCGATTTTGGAAGTCTCTTCCGTAAGTAGCATTGCATTCCTCCGTCGGCCTTGGTCGTAGACATTGTCTCCCGAGCGACAATTGGAATTGTAATGGTAGCGACGGTAATAAGAGTACTAAGAAATGCTAATCGCAGAGTAACTGAAAATGTCCTAGATTCCCCATTGGAACCATTGGTTTAGGTAGTGCTATAAGCCGTCGCATTGCGACAAATCCTTCGCGATATTGTCGCCTTCGCTTGGGTTGGACGAAGCCTTATCTTGAAGCTTCTTAGCTTCGCTTTAAGGGGAGGTAGTATTATAGGTTGACATTGGCCTTATAGTGTGCATTACGAGTTCTGCCTAGCAAGCAGAACATCGTCCTATCTTTTAGGTTTGGCTTACTAGGCATATACACCCTAGCCTATCATAATCGGGTATATGGCAGTTCTTGTTCAGGTAAAGATAACTTAGAAGGATAGGTAAACGAGGGTATAAATAATACAATATTTTTTATAATGTTGGTGTTACTATATTTCTAGAGATTTAGTGCATTAAACAGCACTCGGAAATTGTGTGCGGAAGTGTTTTTTGGGTGGAACTAGGTAGGGTTGAAAATCTCGGTATTTACCGCCAAAATCCGGTTTAGAACGGTCCGTACTATTCCTCTGAACAATACTTCCGAGACCCCATTTCCAGGTCCCATTTCCGAGGCGCCAAACACGCCCTAATAAGCGTAAGGTCTAGCTCCAAGTACCTCTCATACAAGTACCGTAATCAGGTACCCTTACCGCACCTCCTTGTTCAGGTCAACATCCAGCATCAATATAAACTGCGTACTTCACTTTCCTGACCTAACTTAATCGAGCATATATAACCAACGAAATTTATTCTTCTCCCGCATTCTCATTTCATATTGAGCGTTATTTGGGAGCGCCTTCTTGGTTCACGGATATCCTGACCACATTTCACTGACCGACGCACCACGGACGAGATGGACCACTCGACGACAACAAAGCCTACCACTGACACTGAGGCAACGGACCCTCAACAGATTGCTGGTCAGAAACGTGATGCCAGCGCAATCACAACAGTCAGTCCTGAAGGATATTCAACAAATTCTGGCGAGGGTCTGGGAATTGGCGAGGAAAGCAAAGGAGAAGGTGAAGCCAAACGCCCGAAGCTCAGCGAAGAGCAGACGAACAGTAACCGCAGAGATAACAACTCATATGCTGGTATAGAAGGCCGGCAATGCTTCGTCACAGTGGGCGCCACCGCCGGATTCCGCCCGTTGCTTTCAGAAGTCGTTAAACCAGAGTTCCTCACCTGTCTGGCCGACAACAACTTCGACCTACTCAAAGTACAATGCGGCGAGGACTTTGAGTGGTTCGATGCGCAAGTCAAATCTTTGCCTCCTAGTTCTGTCACCATAGAATGTTTTGCCTTTACAGAGAACATGACCAAGCACTATGTCCGGTCACGGGGCGTGAAGTCTGTGAGACTACCGGGTGTGGTGGTTGCTCACGCCGGTGAGATTGCCCGTTTCATCATCCTTTGTCTCTTTGAGAACATGAAATAACTAAGTGGCTAGGCTCTGGAACAATCCTGGAAGTGCTCCGACTTCAGGTACCATTGGTAGTCGTTCCGAACCCAACTCTGATGGACAACCACCAAGCTGAGCTTGCTGAAGAGTTGGAATCTACGGGAGATGCCGTGTACGGCAGACTAGGGTAGGTTCTCCCCCATTAATCATTTGTCCACCCATTCCTACCATCCGCATATTCCAGTCTAGATTGCTGATACCCGTCAACCCAGGAAATTGACCGAAGCGATCGCACGCTCGTTAGAACTAGTCGCCCAAGGTCCGCTCAAGCTCAAAGATCTCCCACCATACTCACCCCCACCGTTCCCGGTGCCCGAGTCGGAGCGCGTGACCTTGTTTGACTGGATGGCGCTAACTTGCTATCCAGACGAGCTACGCAAGCAGCAGCACTTGCAAGACCTCAAGAATGTTGAGGAGAGCTTTCAGCGAGAGGTAGAACAAGCCAAGGTGCCCCTGACAGAGACAGTTCAGGATCGTCTTCAGCGGGATCTTGACTAGGTATCATTGTTAGCGGCTCAGCTGGTGGCTTATGATCAGGGGCGGCGATTCTGGAAACTGTTTTTCAGCATGGGGAGTCCCATTTTCGCAAGAGAACTTGCATGCACCCTTACTGTGGTGTAACCGTTGAACTCACATATTTGGGTGGTCTTTGTCATGGTTACTGCGAACAATGTCACAACCGGATCTCTGACCTAGGCTCAGTCTGTTCCTGTCGAGTTCCGTGAGGGTTGTCGATGTCATATGAGCAATATCACCACCGTACAACAACAGCTGAAGCCCAATCTTCATCATCATTACCCAACCTTCATCACCATTGCTCAGAATCTCCCGAAACCTGTGGCGCTCAAGAATATACAGGATCTGTCTCCAGCTACCACATGGTACTATTATTGAGACCTTGCACAGCGAGGCCCATACCAGCAGATAAAACAAGCCCAGGGAGAATATCTAGCTGGATAGGCAGCAGGGTGTGTGGGGGCAGTTCTTTGCAAACACAATGACGCTGGCTCCCTGCTATTCATGTGGATGTCAGAAGTGGACGAGTCGGATCCTCATCCCGGAAGTGTGTTTATGGTTGTTTTGCCGCTGAGAAAAGGACCATAGATGTGTAGCGAATATTATTTCAAAAAGTACATAAGCAACGTAGCGATAATATTTAATGGTGATAAATCGCAAGGTTCACCATACTAGAAAATCTTGGGCAAGGGAGGAACAGCGTTTAATATTCTGGATTAGACAAAAAGCTGGCAAAAAATCTTGCATGAAATCATGATGACTGACAAAGGCCCAGTCCAACGAGACAACCACTGACGCTCAAAAGGAGGCACCCTCGACTCTAACTAACAACTCACAACTTCGCCTCCTCCTTCCCTGTCTTCTTCCTCCCCGGCGGCGGTCCCATCAACTCCAAAAACTCCTTACTAAGCACCCTCTTCTCCGTCCCCTCCCTTCCCTTCCACACCTTTCTAAACTCCTCATCCTCCTTCCTCCACACCTTCTCCAAATCCTTAGCAATGAACTCCGCCGCCTCCTCGGCACACCTAGTCGTCGCCTCCATCGGCACCAAATGCCCATAGCCCTCAACCGTCCGCACCTCCACCCTCCCCGCCTTCGCTCCGCCACTACCGTTCCAGCCCGTACCCGTAAGCTCTAGCTTCTCCTCGCGCGTCTCCGGAGGACAGACATCGGACGTGGAACCAAACACCCAGAGCACGCCGGGCCGGAGGTGCGGCAGGAAGTAAGTAGTCATAATGCCCTCGGCTCGGTAAAATTGGAAGTTAGAGTCAACAGCGTGATCCGGGGGCAAGTCCGGCACCGGCTGGTCTTGTTTCTTAGGGCGGTAGTAAGTGAAGCACTCCTGGTGTTTGGACGTCACGAGCGTCACTTCCTCCTTTTCTGGAGAAACCCGGCGCAAGCCATGGTCAATCAACACCTCCAGACATCTCGGGTCCCAAGTCTGGTAGAACTGATTCTTCCTGAACCCCTCCGCCGCCGCCTTTCGCGAAGGCCAGACATCCCGCCTATAGGCTGATTGCTTCATAGGCATGAAGCCGTAGGCGGGACCGCGCTTGGTGAATTTGGAGATGACCGGGTCGAGCAGGACGAGCGAGGAGAAGAGGCGCGGGTGCAAAAGCGACAAAGAGACGATGGTGTTGCCGCCGAAGGAGTGGCCGATTCCGACTAAAGGGCGCGGCATCTCGCGCCGAAGGGCGTTGACGACGCAGAGGAGGTCGCGCGCGTGGTCGTACCAGGATGGGTCGTTGCCCAGACTGGACTCGTTGATCAGACCCGATTGGCCTTGCCAGGCGGCGTCGGCGATGAAGATGGAGCGGATTCTGATGCCCCGGGCGGAGAGGGCTTTGGCGAGGTCTTCCCAGAGGGGCTCGTAGAGTTCCTGTATATGGGTGTTAGTGATTGATGAACACAAGTTGTGGGTAAGTGTTTGTGAGAGTAACTGACCTTGACGAAGCCATTGGCGTGAGCACCGATGATGGTCAGGTCGCCTGGTTGAGGATTGGGGTTGCTCTTGGGGATGTATTGCTTTACGGAGAGATACAGGATCTCTTCTTGGGAGTTGGCGGTAGCATGGGCATAATCACGGATGTGTTGACCCTCGACTTTGTGCTCCTTGATGATGAAGGAGGAGGCCATTATGCCGGTGGGTGAGGATGAGTGTGTCCTTTCTTCCGATTGCTTGTTTTGATATTCCCTGATGTTTGTGTACAAGTTGATATGTTGACAGTTGTTGTGTCACACTTCAGGCGTGTAGTCGTTTGTGTTGTGTGCCTTGAGTGTATATCTCGAGTGATGGACGTGCCAATCGGATGAGACAAGCGACAACTCTGATATGATCGAGAAACTGACGAGTCGGGTTGAGGAGCTTCTGGTAAAACGATCAAATGGGGTTCACGGGGAGATCAAATAAAGAAGTGTTGACTAAAGTCCGGGGTTGTCGATCGTGGGCTTTATGCCTCGGCAGTTCGTCCCGTAACAGTCGGCTCAACCATAACCCATCGTGGCGCCGGCTGTTGTGTTAGCGACTAGCCCCGGAAATCGACCCCCGGATTCCATTGCGTGATACCGTACACTATCAGTTTTCGACAACTCGTTGTTTATATGATTGAGAACCATGTTTCAATTGAATGAGGGAGATATTATGTGACTATCGCTCATCTGTAGTGCTTGGTGTTGTGCCAAAGCTCTTTTGAATTGTAGCGGTGATCGGCAATCCATCAAACCTGGAACTTATCGTAGTCGGCGTGTAAGTCGGGTACGTACCAGGTACGGCCATAAGACAGTGCCTCACATCGAAAACGGCTAGTATGAACACATTACAAACAAGAAAGGTCATCAATCAACCTCTTCCCTTCCAGATTCAACGAAGAACCATTGAGGCAGCTTTTCGGTGTTTTCTGGCAGTTCGTGACTTGTCGAGGTTATTAAGAGTGCATCCCCAATCCCGAACACTTAAACATGGAAAGCGGGGGAATGTAGAGTAAGTAGGTACCATTAAACTGTAGCAGACGGTTATTCCGCGGTCATGTGATACAGCGTGCCTGGCTCGCGTCATGGCCCCACACGGGCTTTTTCCGATCGCGTCGCCCTGCAGTGGCCCCAATTTGCCAGTGGCAGACAAACAAAAGACAATTGAACGTTCTTCCAATCAACAACCACTGGTCGCATCGCCAATCCGCATCTGCCTGTCGCTTTTCACAAACCATCACCCTCACTTCTGGCCACCATTTGCCCATGGAAATCGATTAGAGTCGACTCAAGACTCGGCGCTTCGACGCTTCCTGTATAACCTGTAATTAATCGAGCGAAATCGCGTTTACACCACCAAAATGGCCGGAGAAAACGAGAAGCCGGGTCTGCTGGACAGCTGCTTCATCTACTTTGTGCAAAGCAAGTCACTGTCGGCTAGTCTGATCTCAGAAGTATGTCTTTTCTACTTGCTCTGATGCGTGGTTTACAGATCCCCTAACATCTCGGCAATTTGTAGCTGTCCAAGCTTGTACAAAAGCATGGCGCCCAAGTCCTCGAGCCAACGAAAGACGGCAAAATCCCTTTAGAACACGCGACCCATATTGTCGCCAACACGATCGACTTCGAGCAGTATCACGATGCCCTCCAATACATGATCCCTGTCGTCAACACCAACTGGATCAAAATCACGCTAGCACGGAACAAGGTCGCCCAAGTGAGGCCGTACTCCCCCGATCCTAGAATGATCTTCTCCAATGTCATCCTCACCTGTGCCGATATCCCCGAGTCCGACAAGGAGACCATTATTGGTGCGACCATGGCGCTTGGTGGTATGGAATCAAAGGACTTGACGCGTCAAACCACCCATATTTGCGCCCTGTCCATGGACCACGAAAAGTGCCAGGAGGCCCAGAAGAAGAACCCCAAGTGCAAGATTGTCCTACCGCACTGGTTCGATGACTGCTTTAGGCTAGGGAGGCGAATCAGCGAAGCACCTTATATGCTCCCCGACCCCGAGATCTTGCGCACAGGGCCCGACGAAGATATCAAAATCCCAACGAGCGAGGCCGTGGAAGGTGCCACGTCCGTTATACCTAGTGCTGTAATGCCGGGGAAGGAGAGGGAAAAGGTTGTCGTCTTCGCTCAGAAGAAGGTCATGATATCTCAAGATCTCCCTATCAACGCCCGGCTGCGAAACATCTTAAACACTCTGATCGAGCAAAGCGACGGCGAGGTCGTGGATGATGTCGATGCATGCGATATGTATGTGTGCCAATATCGCGACGGGGACGACTATCAACGGGCGGCACAGCAAGGGAAGGACGTGGGTAACCTTGCCTGGCTCTACTATCTCATCGTACATAATGAATGGACGAGGCCTACACGACGACTTCTGCACTACCCGATACCACGAGCCGGAATCCCCGGGTTCCAGAATATGAAGATCACACTATCGAACTACGGAGGTGATGCTCGAGTATACCTCGAAAACCTCATTACTGCGGCGGGCGCAACATACACCAAGACCATGAAAGCCGACAATACCCACCTGATCACGGCTCGGATGAACGGTGAGAAGTGTGAGGCGGCCAAGGAATGGAACATTGAGATTGTCAACCATCTCTGGATCGAAGATAGCTACGCCAAGTGCGAAGCTCAGACATTTTCTAACCCCAGGTACCAACACTTCCCGCCTAGGACAAATCTAGGCGAGATCATTGGCAGCACCTTTTTCGACGAACAGAAGCTGCGCGAGGTATACTTCCCCGGTGGTGAAGAAGCTCTTAGCACGGCAGCGAAGAAAAGGCGCAAGGCGAATGACGCTGCAAACAAGAATGTGGATGCTTCCAACTTGGCAGAGACCGATGCCGGCATCGCAAGCGAATCGAGCCCACTCGGATCAAAGGCAGCCAGCAGGCCACCTCGAGGGACGCAGAATAAGCAAAATCTCCAAACGCCAGCAAAGACCACCCGGACTACACGAAATGGAAAGGAAAACCATACGCCATCAGTGATGTCCAGCGGTAGCCGTAGCGCCAAGGATAAGGCGCTGTCCAAGCTGCACCAGCTGGCACCGGATATCGCTTTGTATGAGAAGGAAAAGAAGCGCACAGGAAAGGACGGTCCATGGGGCGGCAAGCGGGCAGCAGACCAGATCGACCGGGATCGGAGCGTGAAGGAGTCAAGTCCAGCAGAAGGCGAGGACGAGGAGGACGAGACGGGCCAGAAGCGCCCGGCCAAGAAGGCTAGGGTCTCGTCAGGCCCAGTAGAGATGCGCATCTGCTTGACAGGCTACAAGAGATGGGTAAATGACAAAATGCGAGAGGAGGCAGATAGGGTGAGTGATGGTTACTTTGCCCTGACGCATGCATAACATTGCCAGCTAACTTGACAACCACCAGCGAAAACTGCGCGCCATGGGCATACAAATTGTTCAAGACAACGTTCCCTGCGACTACCTCGCCGCGCCGCGTATGGTTAGAACTATGAAGTTTCTCCGTTGTCTGGCTCGCGGCCCAGAGGTCATCTCGTCCGACTTCGTCACCGCTTGCATCGAAGCCGGCAAGGTCCTCCCCATCAAGGACTACCTGCTCGTCGACAAGGAAAACGAAGCCCGTTTCGGCGTCACCCTCGAGACGGCCATCTCGCGCGCCCGCGCCAACCGCAGCCGTCTGCTCTGGGGCGTGCCCATCTTCTGCACGGCTGAGATCAAGAACGGGGTGCAGAGCTACCAGACCATCGCCGAGGCCAACGGAGCCATCTTCAAGGTTTTCCGTGGTCGCGGAGGGTCGGCCATCAAGCCTACTACGCCCGAGGAAGACGGAGGGGCACCGCCTGAGCCGGTCTACTTGTTGACGTCTCCGAGCGCGGCTGAGAAGGCGCTGTGGCCGAAGTTCGAGGAGATGGCGAAGAAGGGGAACATGGAGCCGAGGATCGTGGTGTCGGATTGGTTGTTGGATGTGGCGATGAAGCAGGAGCTGACGTTTGATCCTAAGTACTTGGCGGTTAGGTACTTTGCTGAGAATCCGCCGTTTTGAGGCTCCTACATACTAGGTAGGAATGGATAGGGCGGATATGGGCGGTTAATGTGATCGTTTACACACACTGTTGTTCTCAGGTAGAATTATGGCATGGCGGGTTCATTGTTCTTTTTTTTTTTTTGTTTTGTTGGAGGGGTGGCAGGCTGGAGTGGTGGGTGGGTAAGGTGTACATAAATATTCACCGGCGCGACTGGTTGAGTTGAGAAATCCCATTCTGGGATGTCTTTCTTTGCAGTTTAGGTAAACGAGTGAATGACTTAGGTAGATATCCGCATTTATGTTCATCGAGTAGTTCAAATGTTATACACCATCATAGCGAATTATTCAAAGTATTAACAAACCACTTCTCCGATTTGCGATGCTCCTTCATTTGTTCTTCATTATCGTCCTCCTCGAAGGGGACCCTTCTTCGTTCACGATGTTACTACCAAATCTCGGCGAGGCTCTCAACCAAGTCTGTAAATGGAGGAAACCGTACACATACACCTGGACATAGCCGACCGATATGGGTGGGCCGAGAAGCGGCGATACCCCTGGCTGGGGAAGCTCTGAGCATGTGAGAAAGAATTTGTGATGACTGATGGCGACAGAGTCCGAATGACACCCTACAGTGGAATTTGCCGTGCGATGAGGAGAGTGATAATTTTATATTAGGGAGAGCAGTAGCTAGGTTAAAGTCGGTGGCGCCGGGAAATGAACGCTAAGGATTGATAAAAGAAAGAATACGGACGCTGTGTGAAAAGCAACCGACGCTGGTAGTGATGATGAAAAAGAAAGAAAGAAAAAAGGAAGAAAAAAAGCTGGGAAACCACTTGGAAAACCCAGTTCGCTATGTGTAGAGATATTCGCTGGTAGATATTCGCTGTGGTGAACTCACCATGGGAGAGTGCCCAGGACTTGCCCGGACAGCTCTCCCATAGCTGGGCGTTGGGGAAAAACACCGAAAAGCTGCTCTCGACCTGAATCGAACGGATGACCTTGCGGTTCACAACCCCACGTGGTAGCCACTCGACTACTAGACCACAACGGGACTTTGATATCCACTGATAATCCTATATAGGCATAGAGATCTCCGAATCCCCCCTCGCTGCAAATTTCCATCCCAACATCTGGTCCGAACATCTGCGATTTCGAACAACCCTCCAAACTTTTGCACTTTTCATTATCATCGAAGAATCTACTACCAAGAAAAGACTTATTCATACGCTCATGCAGTGCTTGATATCTCTTTTTCGCAACCAGCGCACTCCAAAAGGGTGCTGTTTTGGGTGTATCGCTGCATTCTAGGAGACACAGGCTCACAACAGCTTCAGCCACGCCGTTGGAAGACATGGCTCGCGGATGAATATCAAGTGGCTAGTAATACGAGTGTACACATACCTGATGAAGATGGGTGACACTGCCGTCCCGTTCACGGAATTGTCTTGTGTGCCTGTCGAACGGTTCCTGCAGCGGGCGGGCGGTGTGACAAGCTTTCACCAATCATGTCCACTTATGCCGCATTTGCACGCTTGCTGTTTCGAAAAGCAGAATGATACACTAGATGTCCGACCTTGGGAGACATGAGAAAGCTCGGAGATTATCACAAATACACTGAGCTTCTTGCAAGAAAATCAGAGGATCACCTTGCTCAGTTCCATGTTTTACAAAACTGACTCAACCGAACCATCCAAGCCACAGACAATGTTCATCTCATCTCTTGTTTCGAACGAACGAACCGAGCCGCCGAAGAACTCCACCGAGATCCGTCCCACGCGACGACGATAGACTGTTATCAGATCTTTCATCCGTACTGTACGTGCATAACGTGTGCAAAATCTCCACTTTCTTTCCACTCAAGTTTCCACGTTTCCACTCTTCTCGTTTTCTTACGCAGGAATGCCCACTTTTGATGGGACGAGCAAGGAGAGAAAGATCTGATAACTCGCCGGTGGAGCTCCGAAGCAAGAGAGCTGAGAGTGTCCCCGAAATAAGCGCACCATGGAAGTCCTCGTTGTTTCAGGGGCCAACAAGATCAAGGAAGATATCGGATCGGAGGAGGGGGAATTCGGGGAAGGGCAAAAGAGAAGCTACGGGACGAGTGTTTGGATGTTTTTTGTTTACATGTTGACTTTTTACATATGTAGAAGGCGGTCTGCATCGAGGGGCAACAAGGGGGCATGCACGGCAGCACGAGCACGGCAAGGTAGCTTAACTACCCCTACCTATCCCATTCAGGAACACAAGAAAAACAATCCCTGAGATACGCGAAAACGGGGACGGGGGATCGGGTCTCGCAAACTGACGAATTTGCGGAGGCGAGTCGCCTTTGTCCGCCGTGCTAGGTGCCACCTCACCAGCTACCAGCCCACCAGGTGGAAGCTGGCATGGCACGTTCGCATGGCTTGATCTACCAATTTTTTGTGGGGTTCAACTTTTGTTCCGTCCGACCTGCCACGCCTTTTTTTGAGTCTCTTCTTCAATGTTGAAGTTCAGACAGAATCGCATTTGTAGGTAGGTGCAAGTATCTACGATATAAGTGGCAGTTGCAATAATCGCCCATGTTTGCTTTCTGTGACTTCTCCAACTGAGACAGTCTACCTGACTAGGTGGTGATGGCTTCCCTTCCAGCTTGTGCTGCGGTTCGCCCATCTTGTCCCAAGCTCAGAAAGCTCTCCGCTTGACGTGAATGCTACCCCTTTGATGAGGATTCTCCGACATCGTCCTTCAAATCCATCTGCGACCCATCGAGACCCTTGTCCCGACCTGCTTGAGTATCGCTGGTCGTGCAGTAGAAGGCCTTGGCCTGGTCGGGAGCCACGCTCGATTGGTATTGTCTGGACCCTTTTTACGCATTGTTCCCTGCCGGCAAGTGGCCGCACTCTAGGAACAACAAATGCTATATGAACCTCCTATGCCCCCCATCTTCGTCTGACTTTGAATCTCTTCTTTTTTTATCTCTTCTTTCCATCCATACCCCTTCAGTTTTGGTCCCCGAGACGAACAGAAAGAAACATCACATCTTGATCCTTGATCGAGATATCAACAAAAAAGGTGTGTATCAAACCCGGCAATAATCATTGCACATCACCCTTCCCCCCCTGTCCACCAGCCAGTCCAATATCGGCGCCGGAGAAGCTTGGTCCATGCGTTTTTGTTGGGCGTGGTTGCGGCGGCTTGGCCAAAGTCTGATAGCCCAGATTTGTTGTTGTCAAGAGAGACATGGGAAAGGGGCAATTCAGGGGCGGCAGCATTGGCAGGCGCACTAGCCTGAGTCGACTGGCGTGATGGCAGGATTGGCAGGTCCCTTGGTCACATTTTTTGCTGCTGGGAATGGAACCACCTGGCATTCTAGGGCCACCCAAAAGGTGACCCCAGCCTTCTGGACCTCTAGAATGAAGAAAGAGAGCTCGCTGGCGACAACGGCGCCAAACAGCGGTGAAAAAGGGGCCAGAGTTGGGGTTGGATCGTTCCGTTGGACGGGATGTGATGGCCTCTGCCAAAAGATAGGACGACGGGACACGCGCTAACCCCAAACTTGCCCCTCCGTAGACAGGAGCACAGGCACTTTTCTACGCCAGGACCCCCAATCTCTCAAAGCAACCCCTCCCCTGAACGGGACACGACAATCTTCTCCTCCTTCTTTTTTACTCCATATTCTTGCCCTTCTCTCCCCTTCCTCTCCTCCGTTACTTCCCCTTCCTCACTTCCCTCAATCTTCCCTCGACGTTAATCGCCAGACCCCAATTGCCCACACAAAGATGGCCACCCGTCCCCAGAACATTGGCATCAAGGCCATCGAAATCTACTTCCCCAGCCAGGTACGTCCAACACGCTGTGCTAGCTGCGTACGCGCGCATAGCTCCGGATGACGCCCCTCCCCCTTTTTTGCAGCCCTCCAAAGAAACAAGAGATTACCTCTCGCCTACCGCAGCAGCACATATCCTGCTTTCTGCCGGCTTTTGCTCGCTGCGCTTTTGCTTCGCACACAGGCAATACCAAACTGACAGCTGTCATCTGTACTTTAGTATGTGGAGCAATCCGAGCTCGAAGAGTTCGATGGCGTTAGCGCGGGCAAGTACACAATCGGTCTCGGCCAGACCAAGATGGCCTTCTGCGACGACCGTGAGGGTGAGTTCTCTCCTTTCCTCCCATTCGGGTACACCTCTGCGCGCCTTTTCAGGGGCTGATTTGCCATGTGCCTGCAGACATCTACTCGCTCGCCCTGACTGCCGTCTCCCGCCTCCTCAAGAACTATGAGATCGACACCAACACGATCGGCCGCCTCGAGGTCGGTACCGAGACCCTTCTCGACAAGTCCAAGTCCGTCAAGTCCGTCCTGATGCAGCTTTTCGGCAAGAACACCAACATTGAGGGTGTTGATACCATCAACGCCTGCTACGGTGGTACCAACGCTTTTTTCAACTCCATCAACTGGATCGAGTCCTCCGCCTGGGACGGCCGTGACGCCATTGTCGTCGCTGGTGATATCGCCCTCTACGCCAAGGGCAATGCCCGCCCTACCGGTGGTGCCGGCTGCGTTGCCATGCTTGTCGGCCCTGATGCCCCTATTGCCGTCGAGCCTGGTCTCCGCGGCAGCTACATGGCCCACGCCTACGATTTCTACAAGCCCGACCTGACCAGCGAGTATCCCTACGTCGATGGTCACTACTCCGTCAACTGCTACACCGAGGCTCTTGACGGCGCCTACCGCGCCTACAACCAGCGCGAGAAGCTCCTCACAAAGGGTGTGAACGGCCACTCCGAGGACAGCACCAAGACCCCCTTGGACCGCTTCGACTACCTTGCCTTCCACGCCCCTACCTGCAAGCTCGTCCAGAAGTCGTATGCTCGCCTCCTCTACCACGACTACCTCGCCAACCCCGAGAGCCCCGTCTTTGCCGAGGTTCCTCCCGAGGTTCGCGACATGGACTACAAGAAGTCCCTGACCGACAAGGTCGTTGAGAAGACCTTCATGGCTCTCACCAAGAAGCGCTTCCAGGAGCGCGTCAACCCCGCCATCCAGGTCCCTACCCTCTGCGGTAACATGTACTGCGGTAGCGTTTGGGGCGGTCTCGCCTCCCTCCTCGGCCACGTCGACAGCGCCCAGCTTGAGGGCAAGAGGATAGGCCTCTTCAGCTACGGCTCCGGTCTCGCTGCCTCTTTCTGCTCTTTCCGCGTCACTGGCAGCACCGAGAAGCTCGCCAAGACCCTCAACCTCCCCGCCAGACTCGCTGCCCGCCGGGCCGTTCCCCCCGAGTCTTACGATGCTGTGAGTACCCCCGACTGACTCAATCGGAAATTGCCAAACACGATGCTAACGATTGTTTGTACAGATGTGCGACCTCCGCAAGCAGGCCCATCTCCAGAAGAACTTTACCCCCAAGGGTGAGGTCTCTACTCTCGAGCCCGGCACTTACTACCTCGAGAACGTCGATGACATGTTCAAGAGGACATACTCCATCAAGGCTTAAACGTCTTGATAATGGAAAAAGGAAGGGAGGAATTCGCATTATACCACTATACATTAATTAGGCTGGCTTGGGTCAGGCATAGAGAGTTGGAGACCGCGATGATTTCACGTACACTTTGTCATGACTTTATGGAGTAAGTGAAACCAGGGGGTCCGGTTGTCTATCTACTTAGAACTGGGAAGGTTCAAGCAAAGGGGTTGCTGGTTTGATATCCAAACGCGCTCTAGAAAGTGGGAGACTTGGGAAGGGAAGGGAAATAAAGGGAAAGACAGGAAGAAGAAAACAAGCAAAAGCTGAAAAGGCAAGAAAGCTTTGCGATTCTTCTTACACATATTACACATATACCTTATACTAATACTCATCGGCGATCATGGCCGGTTGATGGCTCATCAGGACCGGGGATTTTATGTAAATATACATGTTACATGATCAAATCCGAAGATGATCAGGACTTGAACAAGACACTTGTACGCATTTTCATATGGATGATGTTGTGATCCGCGTTATTGCTTTCATCCAATCTAAACACACCAGACCCAGCCGCACATTTCTATCATCCCATGTTTTAACCCTCTCTTCATCCAGTCATGAATCGTACAATTTGTAAGTCGAGAGGTCCACAAACGCCTCAAGTGCTACCTGCAACGCCTTCTTCTCCAGGAGTAAGGAACATGACAACTACTAAGGCGTTCCATACCCAGAATCTTTTCCATCCTCCGAACCTGTCGACCTCACTTCCTTTACTTCTGTTACCGAGATCTGGGGGACGAGTATATCCTTCACTTCCACAACAGCCTTGTCAAGATCGTCAGTGTTGTCTGCCTCGGGAGCGGGAGTGATGGTGACGGGGACGACCACGGGAACAGGAACAACCTGGACCTTGATGGTATCCTCCTTGACCAGGACCGGAGGTATTGTCTCGTTCTGCTCTTTCTTAGCATGCTTCCTCCTAGACTTCTTCTCCTTGACGATCTCCGGTTCAGACTCAGACTCGGAATCGGACGAGGACGAAGAGGACGAGGACGATGAAGAATCATCGGAGGAGTCGGAGTCGTTCTTTCTCGACCTCCTTGACCTTCTAGAGGTCTTTTTGTGGTGTTTCCTACTCCTTCGTTCCTTTTTACCCTTCTTCTCCGCCTTCTTCTCTTTTGTTTCCTCCTTATCATCATCTTCTTTCTCCTTTTGATCACCATCGCCATCCTCCTTTTTCTTTTTCGCCTCCTCCTTCTCCTTCTCCTCCTTCTCCCTCCGCTCCCTCGCCTCCCTCAACTCCTTCTCCATCTTCTCCTTCCGTGTCTCCACAACCCACTGCTCCGCCCCTTCCACCGCCGCTGCTGCGTTCCGCTTGTGTTTCAACAAAAACCCCTGGATCTCGGCCGGACTGAACTCGTGCGCGGGGATCTTGTCCGCGAACTGGTCGGCTAACTCGACTACTTTGAGAGTGGCTTCGTCGCGCTCTAGTTCGCGACGGGCTTCGTTGACTTTCCTCGTCTCTTCGGCTGCTGCGGAAAGATCCTTAGGGGAGGCGGAGGAGGTGGTGGTGGTGGTGGTGACTGAGACGGAATCGGCATCAGAGGGTGTGTCAACCTCGTCGCCTTCAAGCGGAGCAAAAATCGCCCGAAAAATAGCGGCCGTCATCTCCTTATCTGCACGCCCAAACTCGACGATCATATCGACTCGTCCCGGCCGGATCAGGGCCTTGTCCAGTTTTTCGAGGTGGTTGGTGGTCATGATGAGGACGCGGCCCTCCTGGGAGGCGACGCCATCCAAGATATTGAGGAGGCCAGAGAGGGAGAGGCGGCCGCTTGGGGTGGGAGTGGTGGTCGTGCCGTCTCCAGGGGTTATTTGGCCGGGAACCATGTCATCGCTGCCGCTGCCATCGACCGCCACGACCTTACCGTCCTCGCGCGTGTGGGTAAGGCCGGCGGTGTCGATATCCTCCAGCAAAACAACGCACCGACGTGGAAGCTCGGAAAACAGAGAGGCGAGGTTCTCCTCGTTAGCAGCGATGGAAGACAAGCTGACGATATAAATCCTCATCTTGAAAAACCCGGCCAGCGCCAGACTCAACGAAGACTTGCCCGTACCAGGCGGTCCATGGAGGAGGTAGCCCCTGCGGTAGGGAATCCCGCGGTTGGCGTACCACCTGCGCGTTGCCGGGTTGAGGTAATCCGTCACGTCATCAATCAGCTCCTTCTTGACCTTCTCGTTCAGGATGACGGTGGAGAACGGTCGCGAGGTGCGCGCCATGCATCGCTGCCAGGTTGGTTCACTACCCGACCCTTTAGTCGCTCCGCGGTAGATGAGCGTCTTGGCCTCGTCGCGCTTCATGTACACCTGTCTGGCCTCTAGCAACAGCTCCTTCAGGATCCAGGGGTTTCTGCCGAAGCACTTGATGGAGATCTCCTCCCGCTCGCTGGGGAGCGAAAAGCCGGCCATGTCACGGCTCTGTTGTCGGCGGAAGCACAGCAGTCGTCCCTTGTACCAGAACCAGTGGCTGCCGAACGTGGGCGTGTACGCCAACGCTTTCTTTCCGGCCCCCTTGGCGGATGAGTGGTGGGCACCACCACCGTCCTCCTCAGTCCCGTCCTCCTCCTCGTCGTCGTAGTCGTACCGCCAAAGCCACCAGGTGCGCGAGTTCAGGTTCGTGTTGACGACGAAGCGCCGCGCGCCCTGGGCAAACTTTTGCGCGGCCACCCAGCCCATCAGCATGTTGTAGATCTCGTCGTCGGTGCGTACGTCCACGACCGACATCATGTAGCGGTCGATCAAGTCCCAGCAGTATTCGCTAAAGTACTGCCAGGCGAACGTGAGGGCGCCGCATATTAGGACGAGCGGGATGTACAGGTTGAGGTCGATGTTGAGGTTCTTTTGGACGAAGGCTGAGAATGTCGAAAAGCCGGGGAAGAACATGTCGAGGAGGACCATTTGGCCGGTCACGGGGGAGCCGGTAGCAGGGGCGGGCGTGGTAGAAGAGGCCCCATCGGAGCATGAGGTGGTTTGCCCGGCCATATGTTGGAGAAGACTGTCCATGTTGGTCTTCTGGGCAGCGAGTCTGAAGACCGCTTTCTGTGATGATCTTGTCTGAAGATCTGAACCGGAAAAGAAACAGTGGAAAGAGGGATGATGGTTTTATATCGATTCTGTTTGTGTTTTGTTCCCTCCCTCTTTTGCTTTGTCGTATCTCCTGAGGCGGTGTATGTGAATCTGTAGCCGTAGGAGCCACTCCGCTCTCGTCTTCTTTCAAGATGGTTTGACGTGTCACAAACTCGCCGTTGCGCCGGATTGAACAAACCGGAGAAAGACGTCAAGCGGTAGTGAAACGAGGAACAGGATAGAAGTGACGAGTTTGGTAGTTGTTGGTCTAACGTAGTTGAGTGCCGAGGTCCAGGCTGGATACACCTGTGGTATAATACGAAGGGAGTGGCGTAACTGGACTTGTGTTCCCGTTGAATGTCCTTGAAGAGGCGAGGTTGGACGAGGTGTTCGAGGAAACGGAGAGATAGCCGGCTTATATATATCTTCGGGTTCGTTTGGATGACTGGCTTTAGGCTCCAGATCGTCGGGACTACCGACTGGAGGAGGATGCTTGGGATAAACGGTCAAGTCGACATGAAGAAAATACCGGGCGTTGAGCCCTTATATACTCAGTGGTATGAAGAGTAAGGATACGTTAACCGCCAGGCAGCAATACAGTCAACAAGGTAGTAGTTGTGGCTGAATACCTCTGGGAGAAGTACCACACATGGAGGTAAGCAGAGAAAGAGAGCGAATAATAAACCGAGTAACAATCTCCTGGACTGCCACTTGGACACAGCTAGAAGAATGTACGCGCCGTGGAGGTATCATGGTACACATAGTCCCTTGTCATCCCATGCATGTGATGTGAAGAGAATTGGGAGAGGGTCTAGTTGAGCGAAGTGCTAGTATCCACGTATCGGGTCAGAAGCAGCCGCAGCACACATCAGCATAACGCAAGGGGTCCCGTCAGCACCAGGTCCCAAATACCAGTCCAGTTCCTTGCTACCCCTGGCTTTGCTGCAAGTTGGGACAGCTCGAAGCGCAGTGTAGGGCAATGCCACTGGGCAAGATTGAAAGGTGGCTTGCAACCGTGATCTGGCCGTGCAAGGATATTGCAGTGATGGCCGGGTTCCCGAGTCAGAAAATGGAAGCCCTCAACAGTTCTCAATTCAGAACCGAGGGAAAAGCAAAGAAAGGTAACAAGCCACGCCGGGTCCGGAGGCAGACGAGGGAACACCACCACCAACCACGCTGACCACGCCCACCCTTCCGGCCAGCCATTCACAGCCATCCAGCAACTCTTACAGAGCAGACGGAATGGCATTGCATGGCAGAAGCACTCACACAAAATGCAGGCCGGCGGTGACAGCGGAACAGTAAACGTTGGAAACCCGGGGGACCGCCGATACCGCGGCATGACGCATGGTGCAAGTTCGGAATGGGGTTGCAATGAATAGGGTATGCACATGAAATATCGGTATCAGTTCCGAATGACATTCTGCCACTTGACAGATGTGTTGGACTGGTAGCTGACGACTCGACAACTGTTCCGGTTGTGATTCTAGGCCGTCCTTATTCGGGAACATGGTGACTACTCACCGAAGACGTACGTCTCCAAGGGTCAGGATGATCCTGGTGAAGATAACATCCAAGATCTGACCCCAACCTCCTGGTCAGTCCCCGGTCATGCTAGGGTGCGGCGTAAATCCGTAGGGCTCTGGAGACGGCAGAGATTTGTCGATCGTGACAATGACTGCTCACGCTCTAGCGTCTGACGAACGGATGGCAGTGCGATGCTGACTTGCTTCTCTCGAACGCTGCGAATTCCCCGCCATCGTCACCCCAATTTCCGAATGATAGAGGTACGAGAACGACGTCATGGCTTGTTGTATTGCTCCCGGTACCGTGAAATGCTTGGTTGTTCCGGATCCCGTGATGGAGATGGACTGGAGACCCTTTGACGGCTTAGACCAGGGCCTAGAACGTTTTGATGATATCCCTGGGTTGCTAACATCGGCTTTTCTCTTCTCGATAGTACGGGACAGCGTATTCTGGCCATTCAGAACCATCTAGCACATCCATCGATCTCATCACGATGATAAGGGTGTATGTACGTCATGCGGCGGTGTCTAAGCACGGAGCCACAGTGTTGCATCTCGAAGAGAACTGGCTTCAGTGACTTGTCACATTTAGGCAGGTGGTAGGGCTGAGTGGATGAGATTTGGTATCGAGATGTTTGCGAAAGATGTCAAGGGTTTGGAGGCCACCATTCCCAAAACATTGGAATCCTCATGTCGGACCCTGAACTTTGACCCCGCCATGCCCGCTTGGATTATTACCCCACCTTTTACTCCCTCTTACATATTGACCAATCAGAAATCCCATTCGGTCCCGTCAGTCATCGCCGTCATCGCCGGCCCCGTCATCTCGGCAGTGCAGCCGGCGGCCTCCGCACTTTTGGGACAAGTTCGGCCCTACTTCACCACTACCCCCGGCTCGGATACGTCACGCCGACTTGCTCATTATAACCCAGCACTGCCCAATAGCAACAATTCGGCGTAGTTTTGGTCAGCTCACTTGGTTTATTAACTTGCCCTTCCTCTGGTCTATTCTGCCGGATTGGGGCTTTCATGGAGACCCAGAAATGATTAAGTGCATTCTCAGATGAGACCATCACGGCATTCGGATGGGCTTTGAGAACCAAAGAAATTCGCCCTAGTTTGAAGAAGAACAGCGTCAAGATTCAGGACCAAACATAGCCGAGTCCTGAAATGTCGTCATGGTCGTCGGCATGGGCGTTCTCACTTCTCAGTGCCGTCAAGTGGTCAATCGTCTTTACCAAGTAGGTAGCTGTTACCCATGAGAGACACTCCCCAAAGGTAGCCGCGACTCCAAAAAAAGCTGCTAGGTACCCAATTCGACGATGATGCCCTCTACGTTAATATTCTGGTCTTGCCTTTTGGATGTTCCCATCCGTTAATGACTTAGAATTTTCTTATTACTACATCGTCCATCTCATATATAGTTCGGTAACATGCATGATCGAGTATAGATCCCATGTCGCTGACGTATACTAGTGACGAACACGAAAGAAGCTTTAATGTGCTCACCCGTGTTGTCTTTCTGGGCACATAACTTGCAGAAGAAATCTGGCCTGTTGAACCCCTTTTCACGATTTCAAACACTACCCAGATACTTTCATGCCGTTCCGTTTTTCCGTACCAAAACAAAGTGGATTTACCAGAGCATCATGACCTTTGCTTTCATTCGATGACAACGCAGCTTGAAGATCTAATTCTTCCATACGTAGCCTCCAAGACCAGTTCCAGAAACTATACAATGACCCCACCCATTCTTACATCACATACAAACTCATGACGAAGTCACTCCCACCCTCTGTTCCTGATCCTACAAGATGATTGCTATCAGGAAAACCAGGGACCCAAGCACACGCCTTGAAAACCCTAAAGCATAAAGAATCTAGTTTAACATAACACACAAACGCACACACATATAAACAACCCGTCCTCCCATCGATGATTCCCCCTGTTGCCTGTTGTAGTTCATCACTGTAGTATTTCACTCAGGCATAAACACCTGAATACCATTTCCATCCTGTTGAAAATGTCCACCACCACCAGACATCATTGGAGGAGGAGATGGTCCCGGAGTCGGCATCTGAGGATGATGAGGATGATGAGGAAGATGATGGAATCCCCCATGCGGTGTCATTGATGACATCGGTGGCGTAGGACCACCACCCATGCCGCCCATGTTGTACATCGGTTGCTGCGGATGGTACCCCGGGAATCCGCCACCGGGAGGGTAAGAACCAGGAGGAGGTGGTGCTGGGGAAGAAAAAGGAGGGGGCATCATACCCGGGCCTGGCTGGCCAGGCGGGAACGGACTCGGGCTGTAACTCGAACTCGTAGGGCCCCCAGGGCCTCCACCTCCTCGATAGACGTATTCGTTAAAACCACTTCCACTTCCGTCGTCGCTGACACTGGCACTGTCATTGGTTGTACCGTCGTCGACTTCTTCCTCTTCTTCTTCCTCAGATATGTCACTCGGTGGTCCTTGTCGCCGATGTCCCTGACTGTGTCTGTGACTGCCACCACTTTTGCTAGAGCGTCTCGAGGAACGAGACTCCCTCCCACTCTCGTTTTTGGGCGGCTTCCACTTCTTCCCTGGTGCTGTTCCCGGTGCTGGCTGCTCTCCAAACTGGTATCCAGCACCACCACCAGGCCAATACCCACCACCCCTTGACTCAATAAAGTAAAACTCCTGCTTTGTTCTGCCAGAGTTACTGCCGCCACTGACCCACGAGAGCCCAGAATGTGTAGAGCGTTTAGAGCTGCTGGAACTGCTCCTCGTATCGAAATCATCCGATGTGTCGTTATCGAGGTACGTCGTCTCGTAGACACGCATGGCTTTGACCTTACGCGGGTCTCGACCGCAAAAGTAGACGAGCGCGTCGACGGCTGTGGAGTTGGGAAGACGCTTTTCGCGGCAGGTGCGGGTGGAGGAGCCGGAGGAGGTAGAGGAGGAGGACGTGCGGCTTGAGGGTCGGAATGACATTTTGTTTGTTCGGTTTTGGGTTTGAAGGAGGTGTAGGTGTTATATAGAGCAGTTAGAAGGAGCAAGGGCAGTTGGACGCTACGGGTCTTTTTGAAACGGCGAAGGAGGGCGTCCAGTTCCAGTGAGAAGTGATGGTTTTAGGATCAGGTACTTGTGTTCATCCGAGCAAAATCAGTCTCGGAAGTGAGACACAGGACCAGTTCCCATACAAAACTCTGCAAGTAGGGCGAAGAGAGAAAACTCGACAAATCAACTGACAATGGAAAGCCAAAAGTATGTGGAGAGAAGGGAAGAGAACATCAGTGTAAGATAGCCGGGAACGGAGGTAAATATTTACACACAAACATGGACGGGACTACTTCACGAGTGTCCCTTTGGAACACACATGCCGTGACGGAGCGATCAACCAGGAAGCACCGCGCCCGCATTCGAGGCAAGACGAGATCATCTCGCAGCCTTGCCCCTGTATAGCGTCACCTGGAAAGGGGCAGGCTTTGCCCGACTGGGGGAGGGATGGTGTGTTGCCTGCCTGCCTGCCTGTTCATCTGCATGCTTCCTACAACGGAGGCGTGGGGGGGAGGGGGAAGGAGAAAGAGAGACAGACTAACGTCAACGTCAAGGGGTGTTGTTGAAAACACCCGCATTTGTGCTACAGAATGGCAGGGAGAGCTCCTGGTTCTCATGAAACGGGACTGGACTAGACTTCCAACTGCGTGGTTCGTCATCGGCGATCTGGTTCATTCCCGTTTGTTAGTTGGTGATGTCCACTCCCGTGGATGGCGGCAGGATCGGGAGGGTATTGTGAGGGAAGAGAGTGTTCATCAGTCAGGCATGCCGGGCAACGAGCTGGATTGGAGCCAGACCTTAAGCCGGCGCTCACCATACCACACTCCGATATCAAGTCACTAACACCATCATCTGGACTACATGGCGCATGTCGGAAAATAAGAAACGAAAAGCATGACATTCACTTGCTTTGACACCACCTGCTTGGGTGAAGGACTTGGAACGCAGGAAAGGTGCGCGGCCGTCTTGGTATCTGAAAACGGACGTGGAGCGGCTAAAAGTGTGGGTGCATCGGTTCTGATCACAAGCCTGGCGGTCAAGATGCGGTTACCCGTCTGCATGCTTTCCTTTTTCTCCTGGTTCCTGTCTCGATGCCTGTTAACTGATGTCAGATCCGGTTGTGTGTTCTCGCGGGGTAACCTAGAACCCCTTTAGAGGGACAGTGAATGACTCTGGTCTATCTATTGGGAGAAAGGTGAAGTGTTGACAGTTACGCAGATGGTTCATGATCTTACCGCGTAGAAATCATATTTCAAAATGAGGCTGTCGATTCGAGCTGAGAGGCATCGCAATGCTTACCCACACCGACTTCAAAGGTGCACTTCCAGAAGGCTTCCATGTTCGGGGAAGTCAGTTCGGGCGAGCCACCCAATGAAATGGTGAGACGGCAATTGGGGACAGCCGAAAAGGTCTTTTGTTGGTTGCCTTCTCCGCCTCATGAAAGAAAAAGATGGTGGTGATGGAAGCCTTTTCAGCATGATCCAATACTTGCACTGCCCACCTCTACTGCGTAGTTAGCAGACTGATGCTTTGACCGAAACCAGGGCGAGAGTTACCTCTACTCGTCTGGGCTAGAAACGCCTCTCAGACCCATTGCTGCGCAATGGGTCTGGTGCATGGATTCGCGAAAGTGAATGGATTCGCGAAAGTGAATGGATTCGCGAAAGTGAATGGATTCGCCAAAGTGAATGGATTCGCGAAAGTGAATGGATTCGCCAAAGTGAATGGATTCGCGAAAAAATCCAGGTATATGGCCAACCCTGCAATTTGTTAGGAAATCAATGTACATCCGTTTTTTTGCATACCCACCATAAGCAATCTTGACTTACACGATTATATGAATTTATTATGAACCGCTAAAACTATGGACTAGGGCATAGCTGGGAGCTTCCCAACTCTTCAGTTGAAGATCAGGACTCTGGTATACAGTTAGATTCTATGGTGGAGTAAAACACTATGCTAGAAAGTGGTGATGTCGAAATTATCGAGATTCCCGATAAGAATATCGACTCTACTTTGTTGAATTGCTAGTCTAATATAGGGATGTTTATTGGGTTTACGGATATTATATGTATGAAAGTAATTCTTTTTAAAAAAATAGGGTGATATGGTTACAGCGCTAATTTATATGGGGGGGGAAGTACCAAAAATTTCGCGAATCCATGCACCTGACCCTGTGCAAGCACAGGGTCAGACTGAGGCGTTTCTAGCCCTGACGAGTAAGGGCGGGCACCTATTCCCAAGGCCACTGACTGGAGATGCAAGATTTCAACCGGATTGGCATACATACAATTACCAACAACCCTTGCCCCGCTTGCCTGCCTGCTTCTGCTCAAGAACGTGTTCATAGACGCAAGTATTGAGAGTCGGACGCTGTGTAAGAGTAAGGTGAGAAACCGTAGAGGATCCCCGAAGCAAGGAAAGAGAATGAGGGGTCCTAGAGGCCGAACCAACGGGCCAGACGGGCAGCTACATCGCTGGCACCCAATTAGAAACCCGCCCGCGTTCGAGATTTTGGCGTGTAACATATTTCTGTTCTGCTTACTCGAGCTGGGCGGTGGCTGGAGTAGGTAGGTACTTGTTCACGCCGAAACTAAGGTGGTTTTCCGTCGAAGCTTGGGCGTGCTTTCCTTTCCGGCATTGTGTATGGGGCATGACGTGATAAGCGACGGGAGCTACCTGTACGGTCAACTTACAACTATATGGCTGAGGAAAGCGCCATGTCTTTCCCTCCTTCCTTTTTTTCATGCTCTTTTTCCCTCCTCTTTCATTTCGTATGCGAATTTTGCGAACTTGCAAGCAAGACAAGATTTGACTTTTTGATAGAGTGTAAGGTAAGTTGTTTAGTCGCAGGTATCACGGGCTGACTGAACAAACAAGTGATAAATGTTGGTGAAACCTGAAGCGGACAGAAGAGCCGGTAGTCCTCGTCTTAAGGGAGTGGAACCCCTTTTTGCGGCACTTTGACTCTGGAGCATGAGAGGCTTGGGGGAGACAGTCGATGAGCATGAGAAGATGAGAAGTCTATACTTGCACCACAAAGAGGTGATGTGTAGGTCTAGTTTGTAATTGCATCAAGTAAGCTTAACCTTGCGTTATAGTGACAGGCAAAATAGCCGAACAGATTAATACTAACCAAAGTAGTTTTAACCTGGGGTGCGGTTCGGCAGTCTGTAGGACCGTAACAACGAGCCCAACTCTGCCGTCTCTGGCCAGACCTTCAAGCCAGTCATGGTTATGTGTAGGCAAGGAAGAGATCTCAGAGACGCATATCGGTACCAGACAGGGCCGTCTGCCAGTCTGATATTGTTCCAACTCTCTTTATGGTCAAGTGCCCAGGCCTCCGGGTGTACCGGCTGGGAAGCCCGGTGAGCTCTGTTGTCACCTAGCCCAGAAGACCGGCGATGGAATGGATGGAGACACTTGAAGTTTATATGATGATCTTTTCGTCTCGGGTCTTCAACTTGCCCAAGTCAAGTAGACTAGAGGCTCGAGCCAAGCGAGGCTTGAGATGAGTGACAGTTGACAGGCGGGACTGCCCTTTGCGCTAGGTTCAGTTGTCTGGCATGTCCCGTCATATGTGCTTAAAAGGACTCCACCCAGGGCATGTTTCTAGACCCACAAATATGGCGCTAGAGGGTGGAAGTGGATCGAGGCACATTGGCACAGCAGGGGCGGGAGACACGGGCTCGACGGGGAGCACGGAGACTCTGGAGGGAATGGAAGCACAAGTGACCACAAACAACCGATCCCACGGATTCCGGCCATTGCCTACAACAGGAAGTCTCGACGATCTTTTGGCCATCACGGAGTGTCTCGAACGTTTCACCGATTTTATTTCATCCATCTTTCCGAGCCCTATTAGTGTATCTACTGTCCATGTGGCGGGATTGTCTATAGTGTACATGGATGAAAGCACAAAGTTCAACTCGAAGCCCAGCTGAATGTCCAGCCAATGCATGCATACCTTACCTTCCAATTTTCACTGCATGTGCAGCTCGGCGCCCCTTCCGCCCATCATCTTCAAGTGCCGCCAAGCTAAACTCAATGGACTTTTGCACTCCGGGGTTCTTGACTGGCAAGGGAAGAGCGGTTCACCTCGCCAAGCCTTTTCCCCTCGGGGGCTGCCGTGGAGGAGAAGAACAAAAGCTTGGCGCCGGACCCCCAGTCCAGGCACGGCACCGCTGCAACTGAACCTAACCTCAAATGGAGGAACCACAAGGAGTGCAACCCTCCCTAACAACACTTGTTCCTGAATTGTTCGGACCTGGGGGGTTGTGCCGTCCGGTCTGTCCTTCTCTCTCTCCACCCTTTCCACAACCTGGAAGTCACATCCGGCTGTTTTCTCTTGCTCGATCTCGCCCTTTTCCTTGGACACACAACCGGCCAGAAAGCCAGAGGGGGGACGGGAAGGAACCATTCGATCCATCGATTCATGCCATTTTGCAGCGCAATTTGGCCCCATCGCATTTTTCATCCAGTCTCTTTTGCACCTTCCAGATCCATTCAGTCCCCAGCTTCCGCCGTCCGATCCTTCCTTGCATTCATTCAATCTGGACCTTCCTTGTTCAGCCCTCTCTTGGCGATTACAGTGGTCTCTCCATCGGCCCATTGTAAACTTTGTCGATTCTAACCGAACATCCCCTCAATCAACTCCGACTCCAGCGCTTCAAGAGGAATTCACCACTCATCCACCCTCCTGCAGTCTACTCCACTCACCTCCCAGCTGCCTCGCTGCGGTCCTACCGCGTTATAATCCAACGACACTCCTTCTCACAGCGACGCGCATAGCATAGGGGGGAGGACTGTGCCATTGTCTCCCAAGCGGGCGGTCAATGGCCTTTAAGGGCCCGATGCACTTCTGGCATTGAGGTTATCGACTTTTCGCATCGGGACCGCTTAACGCCGGCGCATAGGAAGTCCATATCCATCGTCGCCATGGATCCCAGAGACAGGAAACTGGATTCGCCGGAGCGGAGGCGATCACGGAGGACGTCAATGAGGCATTCGCTGACTCTACGGGCTGAACGAATGGACGAGCTTCCCGATCCAGAAGACTCAGCTCTGGCTTCGGTGGCAGACGATGACATGCGACACAGTCCATTGTATGATCCCAGCCCAGCGGTGGTAGCACTGGGGCAGGAATTGAGAGACGAGGGCTTGGGCCAAGGAGGTCAGGTTCGGGCGAGGGTAACGAATGACAGCAGTTCACCGATAACGCCACCAACATCTACACCGATATTACCAGTACAGCCCTTTTCGCAGGCGGAATTGCGGTCAGCCCAAGGAAGTCCATATGGGACGAACGCCGATATGGCAGCGACAACTCCTCTATCAGAGTTGACCACATTCTCTCCGGAACTACCACAGGCCCCTCTTCGTCCACCAAGCCCAACAAAACGAGCAAGCTCAGCAGCAGATCCCCTGGCCTTGAGACACGATGGCGCAACGAGCCCAAACCTATCATCCCAACATATGGACATAGATGCCGCTCATTCCGCCAGTATTCCTGGCCCATTACAACCATCAGGTCCCTCTCACGTTTACGAGCAATATACTCGCAACTTAGCCTTCGGGCCACCACTGGGTCTCTCTTCTGATCCTTTAGCAAGGGGCTATCCCTATCACGGACCATCCGATCCTTCTCCTTATCACATCTATCCTCAAGATGTGCATAACGCCCCCCAATATGGACGAGTCGTAACTCAGCAAGGCGAAGTCCCGGTAGTCGACTACTATGGCCCATACGGGCATCACGAACCGCTGCCGCCCTACACCGAACGCGACAATACAGGCTTAGGAGGAAGCAGCTCGAGCTCCATCGACCCTACCCCTGCGCCTGTTGCTGACAGCACTCCCAGTATCGGTCAGCCCACTGCCTCTACTGCTGTCGTTTCTTCTTCAGCTCCTGCTTCTGCCCCCGAGTCTTCCCCTGCATTGGGTCCTGCCCCCGCTGCGGAAGAGCCGGAGGGTCGGACAACACCGACGGCACAGCCAACACAAGCACCACTTCCGTCAACTCAGACGCCACCCACCACACAGGTGTTAGCGACAGCACAAATAGAGCAGGCAGAGCAGACAGGGTCGGCAGCGCAAGAGGCACAAACGGAGGCTCTCACTGGCGCTGGAGGTCTAGGTCTTGCAACCAGGAATCCGGAATTTGACTCGCTCGACGACCTGCGAGCTCCTCGCCCCCGTGCGTCGACGCGAAGCTTTAATACGACCCACAGTAACGACCAAATCAACAAGGAGAAAGCGGCGATCTCAGAAAAAGAGACGCCTTTCAAGCGTTGGATGAGAAAGCAGTGGTGTTTTGGGGTGGTTCCTAATTGGGCTTTGGTTCTCTCGTTATGCCTTCTTGTGATTGTGGGGATTGTTACCGGCACGGTTGCCGGAGTTTTGCTGAGCAAGCATGGAAAACCACCACCTAAGGATGGTCATCCGTAAGTGAATGAGCCACGGCCCTGATATTCCGAAATCATATTAATTACCGGTTAAAAACAGAAAGCCCAAACCGGGGTCAGAATTTCCCAGCAATGTGATACCCATACCAACTCCAACAGATCTTGCTTCGCTTCCAACAGGAACCTGGAGTATACCCATGATGCTCAACCAAGCCTCTAGTAACTGCTTCAAGGATCCTGCACAGTCGAAAAGTTGGAACTGCCATTTTGTCCCCTCGGGCATGTACTTGTCGGTTGAAAGTTCCGCCCCCAACCGTTACACATTCACGATCAATTGTAACCACTCTCTCACCATGTCCAACAACGTCTACTCATACGGTGAGCAGCCAGTGTTGCTTGTGAATCCTGGGGCATTGGTGCTGGTTAACGACACGTCTGAAGCCAATCGGGGCCCTGCTTGGTTTCAGGCTGTCCCTTACAACAAGACCGTCATTCTTCCCCAGGATTCACTCAACATTACCACAACAGAAGGTACGGCGAAGATGCGCCGTGGATGGGATCGCAAGGATTACCGCAAAGGCTATGGGGCGCAACCAGGTGACAAGCCTTGGATCTGCAACTGGCCCCAGACGACGTTCGAGCTCTATATTTATGCTCAACAGAACTCGAGTTGGTCCGTCAATACTCAAAGCCTTCCGCCGCCGCCGGCGACCTCTTCCGTACCAGCACCAACGGACTCCACGACAATGACAGTAGTGGTCACGGAAACAGAAATCGACCACGTAGTATCACCGACAGCAAGCACATTTGCATCGTCGACTTCGTCACCGGACAGATACAACCACTACACCACAAAGCCATTTGGACAGCGCCCCCCGGATGGAGTTGTGTACTATCTTCCTTATAGACACCGCCAACTTGAGGCCGACCATCACGGCCAAGAGTCCTCCTTGAGTGAAACACCATCATCAACCTCCGGGCCTGCGTCTTCGTTCCCGCCAGGCCCGATGGGCACTGGTCCCCATGGCGATGGGTTCGCTCCTCCACCCCCAGGTTATCCTCGAGTCGTCAAACTCGAGGAACGTCGATATCTCGATGCGCCGGTTCCGGAATGCACACAGTTCGAAATACCCTTCAACGGACAAGCTGCTCAGCCCGTTCGCGATGAAAAGGGAAATATGGTTGTCGTCACCATCTATCCCCCGGAGGCTACAGCGACTGGCTCACCACGCCCATCACGTCGCTTGGGCAAGAGGTTCACGGACTGGGACCTTGATTTGAATGAAGAGGATGATAGCCCGATTTGGAGCCCGGAGGTTTTGCGGAGGAGTGAGGGGGACGGAGGAATATCAAACGCAAGTGGCGGCGTTGTTCCGTTTGGAAGCCAGTGTAACTGTGAGTGGTTTATTACATGAGCATATGTCCTGGGAATGTTAGCGTAGTAGTATCTGAAGGTTTTTATGGGGTTTGCATAGCGGTTTGCATATCGTCGGGTTTTTCATTGCCAGGCGTTAGTTTTGGATTAATCAAGGTTGGGTGAGGTGGAACTGATCTTTTCTACGTACGCCATGTACTTATCTGTGAGCGGGTGATGCTTGTAGAATGGATCACTCTGATGGTGTGTTCATATCATGTGTCCCTTTGAGAACATAATTATGGACGGAAGGCAGGACAAAAGAGCGTTCAAAATAGGTAGGAGGATACATCTGAACATACCGCCACCTATGTATTGCATGAAAAAAAGTATTTGGAAAAGAAAATATCCTTCTCTGATTACATATACCTGCAACTGTTTCGCAACGCCCTGAATTATGGCGTTTTATCCATCTTCATCAATAAATGTTGCGACAACTGTCTGTTACTAAATGTGACAAGTGTATAACAGATCAAAATAACGCCGTACCCCATGCTTCCTTCTATATTGACATAAAAAAAAAACTATCCATCATATATAGGGCATTATGTAACGCTCATTCAGACACCGGGCCTCATCTCGGCCTTTCGCTATTTATTAAAAAGCCTCCGAAAGGTTCTCAAACGACGGGATCTGGGACACGTCGCAGTTGAAGTCTCTCTCATACGCCTTCGCAGGCAGGACACCAGCATCCAAGCCCTTTTTGTAGCTCCATTGATACCTATTATGGCGCTTCGTCAGTAAAGATTTACAAGAGTCAGGTGAAGGAAGGAATGGGGTCAGTGAGTTGGACGGAATGAAGACAAGAAATAGAAACTTACGCATCCTCGGTATCCCAAACCCAATAAAACCACCCCCACCCCTTCTCAAAGCTATACATCTGCGCCTCCGCAAACATCCTCAAAAAGGTCTTGTAATCATCACTCCACTGATCCGGCGGGGCATTGGCAGCAATACAATCACACCTTCTGTCCGTGTAAGGACACCTAGGCGTCAACACATCGCTACTCGAACTTCCCGTAACCAGCGTCCCCGTCCACCGATTCCCCCACCCGACATTGGTCAAGTGCTTCGCACAATCCGTATCAGCCTGGGACCACTCGGCCACCAGCGTCGGGCCGTAACCCAGGGAACGATTCATCGACAGCTCCGTCTGCTGCGTCCACCCCTCGCACGCGAACTTGATCTTATCGTAGTGCTTGTATACAATCTGGTTGGTGTTGAAGATGACGTACTGGTGCACGTCCAGTGCGGCGCCGTCGCCGAGGTCCTGCAGTTCACCTTGCCAGTTATTGAGGCCGCGGAAGCCATCGCCGAAAACGACGATGGCGTCTTTGACGCCGTTTTTGCGGACGAGCGCATAGGCGTCCTCGATCCATTGCAGCACGGCGTCGACGGATAAGTAAGTCATTTTCGGCTCGTTGGCGAGGCCGTAGTGCGAGATGATGTTCTTGTACCGGTCCTGGGCGAAGAACTGGGAGAGTCGGTCGTGGATTTCCAGGGAACGCTTGGCGTTGAGGTCGCCGTCTGTTCCGTTCAGCCAGTTGATGTAGCCCTGGCGGCCGGAGTGGTTCCACCCGTTTTGGGAGCCGGGCAGGCCGTGTAGGTCTAGGTTGACGCGCAGGCCGTACTTGCGGCACCACTCGATGGCGCGCAGGAGGTAGCGCCACGAGGTGCGGAAGACGTACGGGTCGCCGTCGTAGGTTTGGACGGCCCAGTAGGAGAAGGGGATGCGGACGTGGTCGAGCCCGGCGTCGGCGATCTCCTTGAAGGTCTGCTCGGTCACGAAGGTGGCGTAGTGCTGCTCGAACACGGACTCGCACCGGGAGCCGAGGTAAGTGCAGAGCGTGTATTCGTCGACGATACCCAGGCGCAGGTCGTAGGCGAAGAGGGAGGGGGTGATGAAGGGCTCGAGACTGAGCCAGCCGCCGACGTTGACGCCGCGGGCGGGCCGCTGGGAGTAGTCCCCCCAGGGCTTGTTGAGAGCTGGAACTTGTTCGTTGGCGGCTTTGGAGTCGTCCCATTTGGAGAAGAGGCCCATGACGGGTAGGTCGCCGACTGTCTGGGCGGTGTAGGTGAGGTTGAAGTCGGTCGTGTTGGCCCACTTGAAGGGGTTTAGCCAGGTTGGGGCGTCGGCGGGGATGTCGTCGGGTGATATGTCGCCCAAGCCTTGGGAAGGCGTGTCGTCGCTGCCCTTGTCTCCGTCGTCGTCGGACTTCTTTTTGCTGACGGTCACGGCGATAATGATAATGATGATGACGATGACCACACCGATACCAACCGCAATCCATAGCTTCTTCCTTTTCCTCTTGGGTGGAGAGGACCCGATTTCATCGCTCATCTTGTCCACGGAATCATAACCACTGCTGGAAGTCATACTTGGCCCGCCATGTCCGCCACGGAGGTTTTGAAATCTCGCCATGAAGCTGCCCTTCTCTAGCATGCCACCGCTGACGTTCCGTGCCCTGATTCCCTGTTCGAGCATAGGGCCGCTAGCAACCCTGAGCCGGCTTCTGTCCTCTCTTCCTCTGTTATCTGGACGTAATCGCTCATAACTTTTAGGTTTGTCAGGTCTGGCATCCACAACCCGGTAGCCCTTGTCGTCGCTGTCTGTCCTTCTATGTGGGGTAAGACGTTGATATTCGTCGTCGCTCTCCATTGCCGATGCCCTCTTCCTCGCCCTTTCGTCCCTCTTCCTTGCCGGAAGATACCGGTACTCGTCGTCGCTATCGGGTGGCACCATTCTCGGCTTGGATCGTGTCCTGTCGTCCCTGGCGGCATCTCTGGAATCCCTCGGCCTCCCTGAAGTAGAGTATCGGTACTCGTCCTCGCTTTCCACCGCAGCCACCCTTGGTGGTTTGGCCCTTGCTCTCTCTCTTTCCCTCTCGCGATCCCTTTCCCGCTCTCTTTCCCGTTCCCTTTCCCGTTCCCTTTCCCGCTCTCGTACACGGTCCTTTTCCTTTTGCTCCCTCTCCCGCTCCTTCTCACGTCGCATCCTCGACTCTCTCCGGGCCTCGCGCATGCGCTCCCTTTCCTTTTCCTGCTCCCGTTCCCATGCTATATCCCTCTCGCTCTGGGCATCAAGACCCCGCTCCAGAGCCCGTTTGACCTCTTTCTTTGGGCTGGCTTTCCGTTTTGCATTCTGCTTGTTGAGTTGTGCCAGAGCTGCTGCTGAAAGTGTTGCTGAACTGCCGTTTGACGATTCTGTTCTGATTTCTCCTCCTCTGGTGATTGGTGGTACGCTGGTGCCAGGCTCGGGTCTCCTGGTTCTGCGCCTTGGATCGCGACCAGCGCGCTCACCACGCTCACCGTTATCATCACTATCCCTGACCGCTGAAGAGTTGCGGCTGCGTCTCTGCGCCGACTGTCTCCTGGGCCTGTAGTCCCGTTCCGGGGAGGAATCCCTTGGGGGTGGCATTATCGTTGCGCGACCACCTCCTTAAACCGACTGCCGCTGTATGCTGGAAAGAGTGAAAAGGTCATGATATGGGAAAAGGAAGAGGCAACCCAAATCCGGGATTCAGGAGGTGAAATTGTTACGTAGTCCCTGGATTGGAGCCGCTGGCTGAGTGGAGTGGTGACGACGACCCCTGCCACGCTATTTTCTGACCTGTTCCCTGCCAACCCGCTGCGCCGGCAGCTGTGTCCCGAGCTGAGGTGTTCTGGCTGTGCTGATCCAGGGCTTCAGTTCAGGCTTCAGGCTTCAGGCTTCACCATTTGCTCTTTCAGTTCACGTTGCAGTGAGAGCGTTTTGCAAATCGCATCCATTGCGCCCAGCCTTGGTTTCAGCTTGGTCGTCAAGTGCTGGAAAGAACTGCCCTGGACGATCGTTGGCTGGCCAACCTTATCAACTCTTTAATTCGCCAACCTCTATCACACCTAGTTCTGTCACATATCAGGATTCAAACGCCGACGGTGAGACTGGAATACGAAAGCCAAGGGGTTTTGAAGAAACCTGAAGAGAAACTTAGACATCACGATGTCCTTATTTAAACATCAGCAAGGCCGCATCATGTCAACTGATCTGTAGCTTTTCTCCCATCTTTCTCACTTGGGATGAACCAGTTCCTCATGCACTGTTTGTTTATCTCCGCTGGTGAATCGTGGCGCTTGTCCCATTCCCGCGGGCAGGGGCAGGAGCATCCACTAACGGAGCGACGCACGGACTGCTAAACTTTGAAGAACTCCAAAAGGCGGGGAAGATGCCGAGATCATGATGGATCCTGTCTTCCCTCTGTGCTCCAGCGGGCAGCACCGCTAAAAAGGAAGGCATGGGGCCCCACGCTGCACTTCATTTGTTGACAAGAGCGATCTCCAACAAAGCCGTTGCAAGCCGACCGACCGTCATCCCCGTCTTGATACAATGCCGGTCCTTTGGGAATTGTGTCCCGTCGATAGGAGAATTCTGCGGTCTCCTCTTCTTTTCTTCCAATTGTTGTGGTGTTTGTTGACTTGATTGTCGTCTTCTCATCTTTTTTCAGGCCCATCTCTAATTCTGTTTGTTGCGATTCACAATGAGAGGCTCAACTATCCGGCCCAAGGCGCAATGCCTTCGTTCCCTTTCCAGAAGCCTAGTTCAACGTCCTTCAACCGGTCTTCGATCTGTCCCCATTGCTGCTACTCTGGCGCCGTCTCTCCCATCGAAACGAGCGTACTCGACACATCCTCCTCACGCGAAGCTGAATCTTCCTACCGACTATTCGACAACCCCATTGCTTGCGCAAACATCCCAATCGGCGCTCAACAACCCTGAGCTGTCTGCCGAAGTCCGCAATGGCCCAACAAAGCGTATGAACATGTTTCAAGCTGTCAACGATGCCCTATCTATCGCCCTCGCCCAAGACGAATCGGTCTTGATATTCGGCGAGGACGTCGCATTTGGTGGTGTCTTCCGCTGCACGGGAAAGCTTGCCGAGACATATGGTGCCGACCGCGTCTTCAACACTCCATTGTGCGAGCAGGGCATCATGGGCTTTGCCATTGGCGTTGCTGCCGAGGGAATGCGCCCCGTTGCCGAAATTCAGTTTGCCGACTACGTATACCCGGCTTTCGACCAGCTCGTGAACGAGGCTGCCAAGTTCAGATACAGGGATGGTTCTTGCGGACGGAGCGCTGGGGGGTTGACGGTGCGCATGCCCTGTGGAGGTGTTGGTCATGGTGGTCTCTACCACACACAGTCGCCAGAGAGCTTGTTCACACATATCCCAGGCTTGCGTGTGATCATGCCCAGATCACCCCTCCAGGCCAAGGGTCTGCTGTTGTCCGCCATTCGCAGCAATGACCCATGTGTCTTCATGGAACCCAAGATCCTCTACCGTGCTGCCGTTGAGCAGGTGCCCACCGGATCCTATACGCTACCATTATCGAAGGCCGAAGTGCTGAAGGAAGGAAAGGATGTGACGATTATCTCGTATGGTCAACCCCTATACAAATGCATGGACGCACTGCAGAAGGCCGAGAAGGACTTTGGTGTCTCGGTGGAACTCATCGACCTCCGAACCGTCTATCCATGGGACAAGGAGACCGTGTTCCAGAGTGTCAGGAAAACCGGGCGCTGCATCGTGGTTCACGAATCCATGGTCAATGCCGGCATTGGTGCTGAGGTGGCCGCTGCCATCCAAGAGGACTCGGAAACGTTTGTTAGACTCGAAGCTCCAGTGGTTCGGGTTGCTGGATGGAGCACTCACACGGCTCTCATGTTCGAGGCCCTGAACATTCCTGATGTTGCGAGTGAGTAAACTTATCCTTTGCGAGTCTGGTGAAAATGACAAGAAGCTGACATGCCATTAGGGATATACGCCAACATCAAGAAGGTCTTGAACTTTTGATGATGAACTCAAAAAGGAAGAAGACAAGATGGGGAACTCATAGCGGGGCGTTTATATAAGGCGATGTCGGTTCTGGCGTAGGCGGATGCAGTCTTGTAAATACCGATAGTTACTTGATCTTGTAACGATGCCTGTTAAAGGCAACTCAACCAACTGCCATCAAACGGCCCCAAACTCTACCGTGCACTCCATTGCTTTGCTATTTCCAGAACTCATGAATCTGCAGCTCAATTGTTGATACCGTGGTTGTGTAATTTCTTTGCAGAGGTCACAAAAGTAAGCAGCAAGCTGAATTCAACATCTTAGCAACAGGCAGCTCGCCAGCTGGGAAGCCCCTTGACAGCTGTCAGCCTCACAACCGCAGCGTTCGTCAGATATCCACATCCCACTTCAGGCGGCCCCGCAGTGGTTTGGTGCCATTCCATGCTCGCGTCCAACTGACGGCAGCGGACATGCCCAAGGCGCAGCTCCATCATCTCTAGCAGCGTGGTACCGTTGATCGATACCAGCTACACCAACTTAATCTACCACGAATCTATCAACACCAAGTAAACAACACAGAGAAACCTTTTTAATCTTGTCTATCTTCTTTTTAATTACCATTCGCACGCGAAACCATGGCATCGCACAACGAGATTTTGTCCTCGTTCGTTGAGGGAGCTCCCCCTGGCGAGGTGCGCATCCTACACCGACATCAAACGGCCGAACTGTGTATGCTAACTTATTGACGTACAGCTCTCCGATGTTGTTGCAGGCACGATACCTCCCTTCGACCTTGGTTCGCGACCCTACTTTCTAACGATCCGAGCTTCCAGACATCAAGGCCCTCACTAGCTCGACCCCTAATCTGCTGAACGAGCTCGGCCCGGCGTTCCAGAAGTACAACGAGGAACAGTTTGCGACGGTGAAGCTTCCCGGTGGTAGCCAACTCGTCATCATCAGCTCCCACAGTTCCCTGGGCGATGGCCGCTATTACGACGTCGAGAGCTCCTCGAGCTTCGCCTACGACCACATTACTCAGGTTAGCCCGCCCACGGAACAACCAACGGAAGACCGAGACACATGGAATAAGTCAATAACCCAAGGGACTACAGAAAGCCAGCGATGTTCAGAGCCACGTTCCAGAAGGCGAGCAGGCCGACTTGGTGTAAGGACAACAAGAACCCACGCGACAGCGAGAAGCGAAGGGCAGGGCTGATGCCAGTTGCAGGAAATCTACGATTAAGGGGCTTTCAGCCTACGTCAAGGAGCACTTCCCCAATGCCGCCTATGGCGCGTACTCGATAGAGAACGACTCCAAGGTCGCGGTCATCATTGTCGCGAACAAGTACAGCCCGAACAACTTCTGGTATGTGCTGCTTTAGAACGAAGCCATCGCCTTGTCGCATTGCCCTATCTTGAGCTAACCTGAGGTAACAGGAACGGACGTTGGCGCTCGCTATACATCTACGACCCATCCAACAGCTCCATTGAGGGCTCCATCAAGGTCGACGTGCACTACTACGAGGACGGCAACGTGCGCCTGTTGACTAACAAGACAGTCACCGCGACCGTGTCGTCAGGCACCGGCAGTGGCATTGCCAAGGAGATCTCGGTGAACGAGAAGAAGTACCAGGAGGAGTTGAACAAGAGCTTCACCAGCCTCAGCGAGGGCGCTTTCAAGGGCTTGAGGAGACAGCTGCCGGTGACGAGACAGAAGATCGAGTGGGACAAGGTTGCCAGCTATCGCCTGGGACAGGATATCGGTGGTGGAAGCTCTAGGCGGTAATGGGTATGTGGAAGGATAGAGTGATATAAGTCTAGTACAAAGGAGGGAGGGCGAGCACTGCTGGCAGTGACCAAACCAAATTCAAGTCAATACAGAAGAACCAAAGAAGGAAGAGCACAGCTCACTCATCTCATGTTTGCTGTACGAGCGGCTGTTCAGGACTCGGGATGGACCCTCGGGATGTGTCCGTGATCGCTGCCCGATGTTACAGCTGTGGGGAATTGGTTGAATGGGTCCCGCAAGATTGCTCTAAGAACGGGAACTTGTCTCGGCGTTTTCCCCTCACCCAGCACTAGATAACGAAGAAGAGGATGGAAATCTCGAGTGCTACTTGCCCCGGCCAAAGCCTGGCCCCTATAAATACTGATATGGAAGCTGGAGAATAAAAAGCCGGAAGGGCGATGGAGTCGAGTCGCATACCCGTGGGTGCCGTGGGATGTTCCCGGTCGGGGTTGACAATTCCGACTCGGAATGGAGTCTTGTTGTGCACGTTTGCTCCAATCACATGCGGCTGCATAATTTTGCCTGTTTCTGATTGGATTCATACCATTGATGCGGTCTAGCTCCCTCAGAAGGCTGCGTTGGCCTGTGTGCCGTTGTCAAGCTATCTCGCAGTACCCAGTTCTTGGTGCTAGTGCCCCCAGGTCCCCTCCAGTCGATCTAGTCAGTTCCCCGTGAAACCATTTTTTATCTTGACTTTTTCCTCTCCCCCCTTTCTCTCTTCTTTGCATCTCGTCGCCGGCGTTAACTTTTCCCCCACGATCATTGCTTTCAGCGTCATCTCGGTCCTCCCACTCATCTGATTTCCAGGGTAAGTCAGGAAGCGCGCAATGGCTCGGTTTGGACCTGGCCGTGTGTATGTCCATTGGTTATCAGAGCGGCCGTGCTGATGCTATCAACCACCTGTCCAGAAAAATCCCACAACACCGTCAAGATGTCCGCCGAGTTCACCTACCAGGATGTTGCCGAGCACAACACCAAGAAGGATCTCTACGTCGTGATCCACGACAAGGTGTACGACATCACCAAGTTCGTCGACGAGCACCCGTAAGTTTGTCCGGTCTTCTGTGCCTGTGCCGCACCCATTGCACGTCCCACACGTTCCAGTCACGTCCTCCGATCCTCGACTTCCCGCTTCCCCGCATTGGACACTCGGCATCTGGAAAGAGGAAACATGTGTTGACCCGGTTTTCTTTTGTGATAAACAGCGGTGGTGAGGAGGTTCTCCTTGACGTCGGTGGCCAGGACTCGACCGAGGCTTTCGAGGATGTCGGTCACTCTGATGAGGCCCGCGAGGCCCTCGAGCCCCTCCTTGTCGGCACCCTGAAGCGCCAGGTAAGAAAGCTCCCCGTTCCCAGATATACATATGTGGCTTCGGATGCCATTCGCATGTGACGATAAAACAGTTTCAACTGACACGTTGCTCTTTTCAACAAACAGGCCGGTGACCCCAAGCCCAAGGCTCCCCTTCCCGGTTCTCTCGCTCCCGCTGCTCAGACCGGCACTGCCACCGGTCTCGGCGTCGGCCTCTACGCCGTCCTCGTTCTCGGTGGTGTTGCCGCCTTCGCTGCCTACCAGTACCTCCAGGCCCAGCAGGCCGGCGCTGCTCCCAGCGCTTAAGCGCATCCAATCGCAAATCTTCCGGTTGCTTACTGACCTATCGGCCGTCGAACCGCGCCGTGGGAGGCACGGAGGGTCCGAAGAGACGAGAAACTTTCTCCGTTGCAAACTCCGGGGAAAGGATGGGGAAACCCCGCCCAAACACACACGGTCACCAAGAATCTACGGGTAGCATTTCAACGACTTTTAGGATCAAGAGTCCAGAACGCCTCAACGACGATCCTTGCGCATCTATCTTTCCAAGTGAAGCCGAGGCATCATCGAGCTCTTTTCTTTACCGGCGGGCTATCCTTTACCCCATCAACAAGCCATTTTCGACGGACATAAAACGCCATGAAACGGAGATGTGTTTTGAGCGAGCCTGAACGCTTCTTTCGCTGAGAAGAACAGATCATTTTACCCTTTAACTAGGTGTTAGGATATATGGGAACAGAGAGGGATCATTGTGGGAATAAACATACATTAGTCGTTACTGCTCAATTGAAACAGAGACGGTATATGAACACAGCACAGAATTACCCTATGATGCACCTTGTCTGACATTATCAATATTGTCGAACGTCTTTTGTAAGCCAACGGTTCGTTTACGCAACATAACATTGCCCCCAGAGTTCGTCTACTAATGGAAGTTGCCTTTGCTTACAACGAGGATGCTTCTATCCCAATCTTCAAACGAGACATAATGGCTGTAAATAGAGACCAACTAATAACTGATTGGAACTGCCATCTCAACTCAAAGGTGTAGATATTCACTCTCACTTAAACTTGAAGTGCTAATACTCGTCACCTGTCAATTTCTTGTAGGTGAAGATGGCCGGTCTGTAGGTAGTGAGCCGCGAGAAACGAGGCCTTGCCCGGGAGTTGTGGCCTTTGCTTTTCACATATAAAGGTACCTCTCTCGTCTTTCATCCTATCTTGACGAGGGTCTTGTCTGAACGTCGTGCCGCTCACTAATAATAGTGAGCCTTCTTATTAGTGTACCACAACAAGCTGAGGTTTCTTCAGGAAGAAATCTCAACGCAGCAAAGAACAATAGTCGTGAATCGAAACTCGAGCCACCAAGCGAATTGGGAAGTCGCGTCCCCTTGCGAGGATCACTTGCAAGGCTGAAGCGGCACCACTGCAGTAGCACACAGCCCTGAAATTTAGGGACCCCGTACCCCATAGCGAATCACGGCTAGCGGCATCTGGAACCCCAGCCCCAGCCCGGGCCGCAGGCTCCAACGCATGCGCAATCAATGATCCATTCATCCTGCGACCGGACTTGAACAAGAAATCCAGTCCTCATTCTTTCAACAACGAAAAACCGCCCATCAGACCTCTCACCTTCGCGAACCACCGACAAAGCATCTTGGAAAGCGATCCTTAACGTCCCGACAACACACGTACCGGTACCCCTTCCGAACACCGACCCGAAACTTAATTGTCACCTGCCAGACCGACCGACATTCGAAACCGCCCACGATGTCGAGCTCACTCGAGCGTCAACAGGCGTCTTTCATGAGCAGCATGTCCGCCGCTTCCTCGAAGCTGGCGGGCACCAAGCGCACTCTCGCCCCGCCATCGCCGTCGCCCTCGGTCGGATCCGTCGCCTCGGCCATCGCCGCCGGCAACAGCACCCCTCGCAAGACGGCAGACCGCGTCGACACGCCCGCCCACAACATCGTCTACTCGCAGCCGGCCGCCACCGGCACCGGTCTCAACATCATTACGCAGGTGACGTACGCGATTGCCTGGCTCCGTGGCAAGGATGAGCCGCGCACGTACCTGGAGATTCTGGGCCACCTTTCGGGCCTGCACTGGAGCCCGTCGTACCAGGAGGAGTTCGTCGAAGCGATGCGCCGCACGCGCGAGATCCAGTGGATTCCCGACCCGAACCTGAGCGAGCAGACTTGGCAGAGCGGGACGTACCTCCACCGGCCCAAGGTGCCGGGAGTCCGGAACAAGACGCAGCTGCTGGCCTACCTGCAGAAGAAGACGGACGCGAGCTGCGTGGGCGTCAAGGAGCTCAAGGACGGTTGGCCCGATTGCGAAAAGGCCATCAACGAGCTCGAGGCGGAGCACAAGATTCTGGTGATCCGCGTCAAGAAGGAAGGGTCGCCGCGCTATGTCTGGCTGGATGATCCCAGCTTGTTCCACGAGGTCGATCCGGAGCTGAAGGTCATGTGGCAGAAGGTCGAGGTGCCGGGAACCGATACGATCGTTCAGCGACTCAAGGCCGCGTCGCAGAAGCCGGCGAGCGAGGACCCGAGGGATAAGATGACGGCTGCGCCGAAGGCGGAAAAGAAGAAGAGGGCGCAGAGGAGGACGGGCAAGGCGACGAATACGCATATGGAGCATTTGCTCAAGGATTACAGCCACATGAAGCGGTAAACGGGCTTCGCATCGTGTGGGTCCTTGATTTTTTTTCTCCTGGCTTGGGAAGACGTTCAGGCGGTTAATGGCAGGTGAAAAGCTGTGGGATCGGACGTGGCCGTTACGACGGGACAATTGAGGGAATGACCGCCTTACGAAAAGGGGCTATCTTTCACCATCACTTTTCGAAGACATCCAAGGGAACGCTTTTTTTTTTCCCGGCTTTTTATATCAACACAACAACTACACGAACAAAGCATTTGGGAATGGCGTTCAGAGGGAACTTTGCGGGGCAAGGGGGCTTTTTTTCATGGTCGCAATCAGAGAGACGGATACAGTAGAGGTAAACTCTTACAAGGAAAATCTGCAAAGAGTCACGGTATCCGAGTGGTCTAATCAGCGGGTTCATTCGATTGTCTTTACATTTCCTTTACGCAATACTATGGCGAAATCATCAAAAGAGGGGGATTTGAGGGACATTAGCAACGAAAACCAGGCGTCTCATCGATGCCTTCAGGTCTGTGTTTGAAGATACTCGCAATATGAATTGAGGTGAGAAGATCAGTTTAACATCACAAATATACACAATCAGCACACCGTTGGACAACCACAACCCATTGTGTCTTCCTATTTCCAAGGCCACAACATCGTAACCCACATTATCCTCATATATATGAGCAGCCCTCACATTGACGACGATCCACTTCATGCCATGACCTCTTTCAGTTGAGACGGGTTTTGTACACGCCCTCCTAAACCAATCACGTTGCGTCTCCATGCAGCCAGCCTTGACGCTTCCATTCCGGTTGGACTGGTCCATTGTCCTGAGGAAGGTGAAAACCTAGTAGCACAACTACTCTGACTTGAACTCAAAATCTGTGTCGTGCTCAACGCCTAGGTCGTCTCCATTCATACACCATTTCCCCCTTCGATACCTGCCATTACTCTCACAACCTATAGCCCTCAAAGCTCGACACTGATAGAAAGCTTTGTGGCCGATCGATTCCCTCCCTTCCCACGTCATATCCCGCGGTGGATCTCTTCCTAAACACCCTCCTTACTCCTTCCACTCATCCCTCCCCAACTTGACAATGTCATCCTGCTCCAACACCCACCACTTCCCCGGCGCCTTCCCCTCCTCCACCATCCTCACCGCCTTGACCGCCGCCCTCGCAATCACCTCCGCCTCCTGCGCAAACCGATCCTGCACGCCCAAGCTGACCCACCTGCCCAATCCCCTCACAACCCCATACAACAATCCCTGACCCGCATGCTGCGCCTTCTCCCTCTCCCCCAAAATCAACCCAGGCCTGAGGATAATTCCATGCTCGAAATCGAGACTCTGAATCGTATCCTCCACCCCGACCTTCATCTGCGCATAAGGAAACTTGGTGCTCAACGGTCCCCGCATTCCACCAGAGGACACAAAGACAAAGTTCTTGACGCCCGCTTGTTTGGCGGCTTTGGCCAGGTCCACGTTGAGGTCGTGGTCGATCTTCCACTGGTTGGCGATGCCGCCGGCGGCGGCGCGGGTGGTGCCCAGGGAGGAGATGACGGTTGTGGGCAGGGGGACGAGGGAGGAGAGGAGGGTGGGCCAGGTTGAGGTGTCGCTGTTGACGGTGGGCGAGAGCAGGGAGGAGTTGGTTGGGTTCGGGGGGGCGCGGCGGGAGATGGTTTGGATTTGGGAGGTGGTGGTGGGCGAGGTGAGGAAGGTGGAGAGGATGTGGGAGCCGACGAGGCCGGTTGAGCCGATTATGGCGGTGGAGGTGGTTGAGGAGGTTGACATGTTGTGTTGTTTGTATTGGTGTTTGTGTGTTATGGTAGGTTAGCTGGTGGTTGAAGTAAGTTCGTGATGGTGGTAAGAGAGGGTGAAGAGCTACGGGGATGAGTTGAAAGGGAGCTCTTCAAGATGATGAAATCTCAGTGGGGTGTTGAACCACGCGAGCATGGAGGGGAGGAACCGTTTGATAGGAAAATGTGGGGACAACATTCATTCAGGTAACGGCGCTAGGATAGACTGCCATATGATGATGGCTCAAGTTCGTTGCCTACGGTCAAATATTGCTCCATGATTTTCGGAGTCGGCGAACTACATGAAGCTTAACTCACGGAGATAAAAACATGATAATCTCCGAGTTCCCGTTAATTTCACTTTTTCCGAGTTTAGTACGAATGTGATGAGCACATCGAACGAAGCAAGATGTCATCTGTAAATTATGTGACAGTGTTCCATAGTTGAGAAGCGATTCAGAAACGGTTATTGCAAGGGTTTGACTTTTGAGAACCATGTGCGGAGCTTGTTCGATGGAGCCGAGCTCTCGTTGCAGAGAACCCTGATGGACCATCGAGACCATAGATCGAGCCTCAATCCTCGGCGATTTCTCACTTCGTCTGATTTATACATCACCAATATCACTCATACTCTTACCGTGGCTCTTGAACAAGGTGCCAGAATAACATCGAAGTAATTGCCGCCGTTAAAATGAGCCTCGGCAGGAATTGGAAAACTGAAGGCGTACAGAGCTCAATGTTAATGTCGTCATAGAAGCAAGGACCAAAGTCTAACTCGACCTCGACCCTAACCCTGCCCAGGAAACCGCATGCCCCACTCATCCCGCAATTGGAGCCGAGAAATCGGAAAAAGATCTTTCCAAAAGTCTCGACTGGAAAAAAAGTCAACATTGCCCCTCCTCCTCCGCCAAAAATAAATTCAGCATCGCCCAACTTCACGATCCTTTGCGCTTTCCACGTCGCACCCTCGCGCAACACCACTCTCTGCATACCGAAAGCTTCATAATCTCAACCACAAAATAACCAAACTGCAATCATGGCTACCCCCACCCCAGGTAAGCTTTGCGACACCGGTCAAGAAAAGCGAGAGAGGCAGTGACTAACTCCCCATCTCCCTCTCCAAAGCAACCTGCCAATCCCAATTCGAACAAGGCGTCGCCATCTCCCTTCACCTCTGGCCCGCGCTCTCCCTCGCCGTCCAAAACAACTGGGGCGGTCCCGACTCCGCCGACAAGCGCGACTGGTTCGCCGGCGCCGTCGTCGACCTCTTTCCCGACCTGAACAAAGTCCTTGCTCCTCAATCCCAACAAAAACAAGAAACGACGACACAAAAATCCGGCGACGACCATGAAGAAGCAACAGAAGAACCCGACCAGCTCGACATCGAGACCGTCCTCCTGCAAGTGATGTTGGACGAGTTCGAGGTCAACGTCGACGACGACTCGGCCTTCGAGGTGGCCGAGCAGATCCTACGCGTGCGCCTGGGCTGCCTGAAGGGCAAGTTTGACGAGGTGGACGCGCTGCGCAGGCGGTTTGAGGGCAAGGGAGGCAAGAACGTGGTGTTCAAGAAGGCGGAGGACCAGGACAACGATACCGACTGGGACACCGATGATGACGAGGAGGCCGACAGTGATGAGGAGATGGGCGAGGCGCCCGCGCTGGTTCCCACGCAGCCCAAGGAGAAGGTGGAGCCTGAGGTGGATGAGGATGGGTTCACCAAGGTTGTGGGCAAGAAGAGGAGGTAAACTGGGTTTTCATCCGTCCAAACTTGAAGGTTGAGAAAGGGAGGTGGGAAGGGCTGTGTGACGGGAGGATGATTATATCCCTGGTTAGCCCCCGTTCACTGGACGAAGATGAGGGCTGGTCAGGATAAGAAGCAGAAGGGGGGCAAATGAGGAAACGTGGGAGCAATAAGCAACGGCAACTTGCTCTCCCAGGCTCTGCGCAAAGAGATTTGCAGAAACAGGGTCTCAATATTGACGGTCACAACATGCGGGCTCATCTCACATCACTCCGAAACCTTCAACCATAACTAACCAAGTTTAAACGCCGACTCAAGCCAGTATTATCATCGCCCGTATACCATTACAGTCGTGTCCAGCACATGTACTCAACAACCCAATTCGCCCCTTAACGTCATTCTCCGAACTTTACTCCCAGTCTTCCTCATCACTGCTCTCATCGGCCTTGCGACCCTCCTTGGGACTGTTGGGCGCACGGCTGGGAACACCAGAAGCAGCGCCAACGACGTCATAGCTCGCTTCGCTGTCGGCCTGCGACTTCTCGTCGTTGGACTTTCTGGGTTCCGAGGGCTTCAGACTGCCCTGAGCGGCGGCGGCGCTCGATGGTGGGTGAATGGTGGTGGAAGATTCGGTCGAGGGAGATCGCGGGGCCGGCTTTTTGGTGGCAGCTGGCGCAGCCTTATCTTCTCCGGATGTCTCCTCCTCCGAAGAGTCTTCCTCCTCTGAGGAGTCCTCATCCCAACCAACTTCCTCTTCAGCGGAAGCAGCTGTATTAATGGTAACTTGTTAGCATAGCGTTCGTAGACTGCGGGGAAAAGCGAAATCTCTCCCAAAATCCATTCAAATCCATCCAACCAAGAATTGACTCTCTTACCCTTAAGCAAATCCCTCCTCCTCGCCTCAGCCGTCTCAATGCCGTGCCTCAAGAAGTAATATCTCTTCCAGAAATCCGCATACGGCACCTGATCAGGCACCAGCTTCTCCATCGTCGCCCTAAGCTCCGGGTACTTATCCAGATCCGCCGCGATCGCCTCCGTCTTCTTATCGACATCAAACTCCTTAACCCAAGTGTCGTACTCCTGTCCGCTCGCGGGCTCCTTGAAGCTCTCAGGGGTGGTGTGGATGACATGCAGCTGCGCGTCGAACCGCGACGTGTGAATCACCCGCTTGCCCTGCGCGTCCTTGCTCTCGAAAAGCACGCCATTGTTATTCCTGCCCTCCTCGGTCCGCTTGGCCGCTTCCTCTTCGCTCGGCGGCGCAATCTTGATGGCGTCCTTGAGAAAGTCGCGCAGGTTCGAGCCAAAGCGCAGGAGGGCCTCGTCGGCGGCGTCCTCAGCCTTTTGGAGGTCCTTGAGACGCTTGGCGGCCTCGCCACGCAGCCGGGCGAGGACCGAGTCGTCTTCCTGCTGCTGCTTAAGGGAAGCCTCGGCGGACAGGTCCTTGGCGGTTGTGGGGGTCGTTTGTTCGTCTTTGGAAGTGGTAGAGGAGGAGGATGAAGCTGCCGCGACTCCAGACGAGGCGGCGGCGGCGGCCGAGGCAGCAGCCTGGGTGGTGGCTATGGAGAGAGCGCGGGTGCGGCTGATGAGGGTGGTGCGCAGGTCGCTGAAACCGCGCGTGGCATCTTGACTGACGGCTGAGAGTTCCTTTTCGGCTTCGCGGTAGACGGATTCGCCCTAAATGAGTTGAGAAGAGACAAGAGTTAGTTGGTCTAGTTTGGTAGTGTCGCGCGACTTGGAGCCTTTGTTGGTCATGTGAAAGGCGGTGACCACATACCTGCTTCACAACATTGCCCAGGAAACCACCGATCCTGGCACCCCAGGGACTGTTCGAAAAGGCCCGGTAGGCGTCTTGAAACTCGGCGTTCAAGGTCGGAGGTTGAGCTGGCGTCTTATCCGATGACGAGGAGGCTTGGTTGTCATCGGTCAAGGTCTCCTCCTGGATGTGGTCGTATGCGACATCCATGGCTACCACTACTGTATGGATTTGGTCGACAGCGTCTGCTATAAGCTCGGTGGTACTTGGGTAAGGTACTGTTCCAAGACGAAGAAACGTGTGTATGGATTCAGATATTGCCAAGAACTCTGATTTTACGATACACGCCGTGGGATGTGATCACGGTTGCAGTCGATGTGTTGATTGTTTGGCGCGACATTCGAGGATGTCGATTTCCTGGTGGATGGGAGGCTGATCGATCCCTTGAATCCCCGCCGCATCTGTAGCGCTGCCGTCGGGTCTTGCCCGTGCGGGTGTCATGGTGCCGCATCCACTGTGGGGAAATGCAAGCACTGCAGAGCAACCGCCGCCGAGAGACAAGCACGGGCCTTTTACACTACAAAAGAAAAGACTCGACCGGGCTTTAAACCACATGTTAGTCGGTGACACCGTTCTTTGAGACTCTTGAAAGCCGAAGCCGACCACGGGACAAGCTTATCGTCTGTCCAACATGGCCTGATTTGGTGTAGAGGTACCCAGGCTTAGCCAGGTAGTTGAATGTCTTTGCCCGAACCGGATCGCAAGCCGCTTGTAAGCGTGGAATATTTTGTAGCCACTCGGAGACAAGCCATGCAGGTGTCCGATCAGTCGTTTGAACTGCCGACAAGAACCAACGTGAGGTGGAATCTTCAATGGAATGATATCCACCATTTGGAGAGTCTCGGACTCTCAGTGGCAAACCATGCCAAACTCAAGCTAGTTGCGATGGTAATAATTAACACCGAGGGCGCTCATCTACCTCCTTTATTAAACAAATTCCCCTGGCCGTTGCCCAATTGGACACCGTACCCGTGGTTTAGGTTTATAAAGTTGAGTGCATTGACACGGGCAACTCTTATCTGGAACCCGCTCACGTCGAATCGGTCAACATCATCCTCTACAGTATGTAGTGAGACAGAATGTAACAAAAGAAATCCCATTTTGGCAAAGATACCGACATACATATCGGAAACGGTGGGATTGATTGTCTGCATCTGAGATAACTGTCAAGTCCTTTTGTTGGATGAATCGACTCGGAGTGTCATCGGACATCGGCATCCAATGTCAAGTGTGCTGACAGTTGCCAGAGCCGGCCTGACAGGGTGTCAAGGCACGGCGGACCGTCGAGGAACAATCCAGACATTCGACTGATTCTCGCTGACAAATTGACTTGGACTGAAACCCCTCCACGCTCCACTTGGCGACCCTCAAGCGTCCATGCGCCACGCATTCTGCGAGTTTGGCCCTGTAATCGAAGGGCGTCCACTCTTTCCGCCCGTTTTTGGACAGTCTCGCTTAGTCTCGTCCCCTCCATCGCCCAAGACCGCCCAAGAGTCCTTCCCTTCTCAGATCCGATCGAATCGTGTCAGCGAACCAACGAAACACAATCCTGTCGCCTCTCCAATCGCAGAAACGGGGCAATCGCGGGATCATACGTGTACCTTATTCCTAAACCCAATTGCTGACAGGAATCAAAAAGGCTGAGTGCCAAGGTGAGTCAGGTGTCAGGCCGACTGCATCAGTTCAAGTCAGCGTCCGCCGCCATCCCACCCACCCGCAGCAGCGGCCAACGGTTCTGCTCCAGCAGTCAACCTTTCCGGCTGACAACTCGGGCACTCACAATTTTCTCTTCCCCTTCTCACCTTCTGCCATAACTTCCCCCTGGTAACCTCTACCTGTTCCGTGCAAATACATCCGCGTCTCTTGTGACTTGCCACTCGGACCAAGTCGGGCCCCTCTCTTCTGTCTCAAGTTATTGCAGTAGAGACACTTCATCCTACTGCCTACCTCTCGTTTTGACCCCCGGCAAACCCTGTCACCTCACACCGAACGTCTTCCTTGGGAGGCGACTTGAGTCTTGAACTAGAGAAGCGGAAGCGAACTGGACAGGAACTGGAACTGCCCGGTTTTATATTCCGTCCTAGCCCGCAACGCTCAACGGCCAACGGTTTTTGTGCCTTCAAGTTGCCAGTTGCCTGGCCGGTGGCTCGTCCCCGTCCGGTCCAAAGCCCGCCTCAGTTTACGGTGCTGTCAAAACGTCATCGTCTCCGCAAGAGAGATCTTTCAAGTTATCGTCACCAGTACTAGCACCCGGCGACTAGCATCTGATCTACCCCGACATCAGTCTTCGACTTGGACATACGTACATCTTGGGCCCGGTACCCCGGATTCTCCGCCAAACGTATTGCCATTGGACCCGCGGTCTTGATAAACTCGACAATTCCGCCTGTGCGGCTCCGACCGCTAGGAGCGATCAGATCACGAGAGTGAATTCGTCCCATCCTCTCAACACCCAACTGAAAGTCTTTCCTCGATCCAACCCACTGCTCTGTCTCCCAGTCACCATCTCGAGCACAGGACAACCAAAAATGACGTCGACTCAGAACCCCCTTCACAATCTCGTCCTCACCCCGCAGCAACAGAGCCTGTTGTTTGCCGCCCTCAATTCCAACAAGCCCACCAACACACAAGCCGACCTCTCTGGTCTACCCGCAATGTACAACGGAACGTCTGCCCAAGGACTCGACACCATGGGTTTCCAGCATAGCCCGAATTTCGGTTACGACTACGGTCTTGACGGACAACATGATCCCAACTTCGATTTCAACTTCGACTCTGTTGATCAATCCCACATGACGGACGATCAGTCCAATGCTCCAAGTGATTCCAAGTCGGGCTCCGCCAATGGAGAGTCCCCCGACAAGCGCAGTCATCCGGATGATGACGAGGAGGAGAACAGCGAACCAAAGAGGAGAGAGGGTGAGGGAAAGGTTGCCAAGAAGCCTGGCAGAAAGCCTCTTACCACTGAGCCCAGCTCGGTAAGCCTGCCTCGGTCGATTGATCCTGTCAGTCTCAGTGAGGATTGACTACTAACGTGACAATAACAGAAACGCAAGGCCCAGAATCGAGCGGCTCAACGAGCTTTCAGAGAACGCAAAGAAAAGCACTTGAAGGACCTTGAAACCAAGGTCGAGGAGTTGAAGAAGGTCTCCGAGACTGCCAACAATGAGAACGAGATTCTTCGCAAGAAGATGGAGAAGATGAGCAATGAACTCAATGAGTACAAGAAGCGTCTATCTTTGATGACAGCTCGACCACCGATGGTATCACCTCGGGCCATGCCGTTCGGCAACCCATTTGTCAACAACATCAATGATGTCAACTTCCAGTTCGAATTCCCCAAGTTTGGCGGTCCCCTTCCTGGGCCACAACTTGCAAATCAACCCAAGAAGGCAACCCCTGTGACGCCTCCTTTGTCTTCAACAGGCCGACTGGAGCAACCCACAAATGGCGTCAGCACCGGTACTACACCCAATTACGGCCGAATAGGCCTCGATACGCAAACCAAGGAAGACTTGGCCCATTACTCGGCCGATCTTTTCACACCTCAGTCCGCACGCGGTGAGGGACCGAATTTCTCGACCACTGGAACAGATTCTCAGTACAATGCGGGGGCCGGCACATCAACGAGTTCCCCATCTTCTTGCACTTCGAACATGGGTGGCGCTAGCTCGTCGTGTGGCACCTCCCCAGAGCCCCTCACTCATTCACCCACCGGGTTGAAGTCAGTTGATACGATGGCCACAATCGGAGAAGAGCAGCCAGGCGTCATTGGTTCAGGGCAGTCAGGTAAGCATTCACCGGTCTTTAATGTTCGTTTTGATCGTATAGGTCGGGATTGACTAACGCTTTTTAGACTTCAATACCTTCGGTGTTGACAACTCTCTCAACTGGTTGCCTCAAGACAACTTCCAGTTTGATCCGCAGCTCTTCGGAGACTACCGAGAGCCTCAGAACAACGTCCTCAACAACGGATTTGACGATTGGTTGACCAATGATGCATTCGATGCGGATTTCCTGGCACCGTATAACCTGCCACCAACAGCTCCAGGACTGCTGCCACCACAACCCGAAGCAGAATCACAACCACCGAAGAAGGATCTCATCTCTCAGATTGATGAGGTCAACGCATCAGATGATGGACCTGGAGCGCAACTTGATTGCAACAAGATTTGGTATGACCATGTCGAGAGAGTCCTCGGAAATGCAGCTTTCACTAACAAGTTGAACAGGGACAAATTGCGCAGTTGCAGTGTACAAAACCAAGAGATTGACATGGACGCCTTGTGCTCCGATCTGCAGAAGAAAGCCAAGTGCTCTGGCTATGGTGCTGTGGTTGATGAGAAGGAGTTCAAGAGTGTTCTGAAGAAGCACTTAAGTCCCGAAGCAATGGCGAGGTGCGAAAAGGACTGTGAAGAGCGAAAAGCAGTTGGCGCATTGTAAGAGCGGCTCGCTTTCATGCATATGAACTGCATAGAGAGGGTTTTCTCTTGGTTCAGAACTACCTCTTCACGAGACCACTTGTCTTGATATCTCAGGTGGCATCTCACAATGGATGACATCTACTTCTTTCTCGCAGTACGGTTTTTATTCACTTCGCGACGGATTTCCTTCCCATGTCGGAAATAGGATTTTCATCAGATCTCAGAGTTGAACAAACCTTGGACGGTCCTGCCTCTCTTGGCTCGTTTACAATCAAGCATGGGAATACATCACGAATACTGGCTAGGAGTTTACGAGATGCCGGAGCATTTACAGCGTTGGGAAAACGGGCTTTCAGGTCCTGAATTGGCCGAGAGTGGGACTGGTTACTTTTTCCTTCTGGTAGCATGGGTCACTCGGTTCAACGCACTCAACGAGAATACTCGTGCTGGTTTACGAATGGGCAGTCCATTGTTGGATGTCATAAGACCACGGAGATGCGCTTGGACGTTACTATAACTCGTAGGATATCGAGGAAGGCCCGGAGTTTTATCGGCTTTTTGATCTACACAGATGATCGGTCTCGAACGGGACCACATGACGTTCGCTACGGCTTTGAAAGATTTTCCTCAGTCCGTAAGACATAAGCGAACTATTTTCTTCGAAGTCAACGGGTTTAGGATTGCATGCGGCTTTGAACGGAACGGTATCTCATTGTATCCCAACAAACACACCACTCTTTTCCTGCTAATGAGGCATGATATTAGTAGCCAAGATAGAAATAATTAGTGTTCAGTTCATCTTGTCGTGGTCCCGTGCTGTGGCCTGCCTCTCTTCAAAATTCTACGTTTTCTCTGGTCGTCACTTAGACACCACTCATCCGCTCGTCACCTCCCTCCCACCCACCCTCCCCCTCTCGAACTCACATCAACTCCATTCTTTCTGCAGACTATCTCCCTCAAGACACTCCCTCACCAACTCCCAATCCCCCATCATCACCGCAGCCACAACCACAACCACAACCACCATCACTCACTCCCCTTACTGCCTACATACCCTTCTTCTACTCACCACCACCACCACCACCAACAAGTAACCCATCAAACCCCTTAACCAACCCCATCGCCGCCCCCGCCGCAATCCCGCCCACCACCACCATCTGCACTCCCGCCCTCACTCCCTTCCGCACCACCCTCCGTCCGCTCCACTGCTTCAAAACGATGCAAGTCTTGACGTACCCGAACCCGAACAAGGCTAGGGACATGGTGGCGATGGAATTGTAGAGGGCTGTTTGTAGACTTTCTTGTCCTCTTCCTCCTTGTTGTCCTTGTCCTCCTTGTCGTTGGCCTTGTAGTTCTGGTTTCGGGTATTGGTTTAGGTTGTAAGAGAAGTTTTGTGAATGAAAGTGGACAAAGAAATACGGTATCAGGGGCAAGAGACCGCCGAGGAAGTAGGAGGTTGCGATGGTTAGGGCGGAGATTAAGGGGCGAGAGGAGGAGGGTGGGGGGAGGCAGTGGTGGAAGCGCATTAGGAAGGGGACTAGAAGGGGTTGGTTTGATGTTGGTGGTGGGATTGGTGGTGGGATTGAGGTTGTGGATGGCGATGGAGAGGGGGTTGGAGATCGATGGGAGGATCTGGTAGAGGTGTTCGCAGAGTCGAGGAGGTGGTCGGTTAAGGAATCGAGGGTTTCCTGAGGGATAGTTGGGGAAAAGGGAATAAAGATTTGGGAGAGGAGCTGGTTGAGAGGGTGTTCTTGAGCTGTTGTTGATTGGACATGGAGGTTGCATTTGTCTTGATCCTCGGGAATGACGGGGTCAGAGATGGAGGCGCGGCCACGGCAGGAGTTGCTGGAAGCTGCTATGGCTACTGTGGTTTCTTCGGAAAGGTTGGAATAATAAGAGTCCACAAGCGCCTGTGTTTTGGCCAGTGTTTCGTTATAGGAAGCTCTGGCAAGTTTGGTTGAAACCAGTCAGTAACTCGATGGTGTCATTTCCTTTCCATCATCTTCTTCCTCCCATCTGTCTCAGTCGGTCTATACAAGATATGAAAGCAAAACACTCACGCCTCACTCTTCGCCCCGAGATATCCTCCCAATCCCATCGAGATAGCACCAGCTATCAACTCCGCCAGACCCCCAAAGATGACCACTCGCGTATCTCCTAGCGCCGAGAGACCTGCTGTCAAAGCGAAAGGGACGGTCAAGCCGTCAGACAAGCCAATTGTGGCATCGGAGATGAGTCGGGGAGTGATTTGGAAGCTCAGCCTCCTTTCTCTTTTCTTATTTTTCTCTGGAGAAGCTGAATTCGAGGGTGGTGGTTTAAGTTCCTCTTCGGGTGGTAGCTGAGATTCGAGATCTGTAACGGCTGTCGTGACGCTAGAGGCGTTGGTACTTCTTCGTCGTTTATCAGGAATATGTGTGGGTTTCTCCTCGAGAATGGAGTCATCATCTGGTTCTTGTTGAGTGAAGGCACTGGTGTTGGGAGGAGCTGAGAACCAGTTGCGCCGCTCTCGGCGAAGCAGGCTGTCCTTGTAGCTAGGTAGAGACATGTTAACCAGGTCCTGGTACAGGAAAGAAGTAGGTAATGCACATCAACATTCTATGACGGGAGGGAAGAGGAGTAAACCCAGGGACGGGGGCACTCGTCTTCTTGACATCAAGTTCTCTGGTGCTCAGAGATATTGAATTGATCCTTGTGTCAGTGAATTGTCCCCTCGTGTAGTTATGTCGGTAGTGTCAAAGGCAGCACAATAATCCATTGGCGTCTTTCATCGAATAGAACACCGAAGATAGGTTGTATGGTACTCTTGATCAACATCTCTCATGTGTTCACATCCTCGCACAGTTGGGACTTTGACTTGACTGGATGGCGCAGTACACGAAGACGTAGCATTTCGTCCGTGTGAAGCCAACCATTTGTAGGAGACACAGGCCTCACTCGTGGAACCTGAAGGTTGGTCAAGAGCAGCGGTTATCACATCCTTTTCATGAATAAGAACCGATTTTAACTGTTACAGGGCGAATGTTCATTGCATTGTCCGTCGCAAAGCCAAAAGAAAAGACATCAAAATACAAAAAAAGATAATGGAACAATGATCTCGCGCCCCCAGAACCCGCACCGCCGCCTCCTCGACGGTTTTGCCGGGAGGTTGCCGGACCTTGGACGAGTGTTGAAGGGAAGGAGCGCGCGGTTTGGTTGGCAACTGCCGGATGGGATTCCGTCCGGTCTCTGCGGTATAGATTTGGATGGCCGTCCGAGCTTCGATGTCTACAACATAACCGTCTTTAACGGAGTCGTGATCTGTCGAGAGCTATTTTGAGATATGGCATAATTAACTGCCAGTCTTGCGACCACTTTAGATGGGAGATGCCTTTAAGCTTCTTTATACTGGGCATAGGCAAGTCGTGAGGGTATGGACCGATAGATAAGGTAACATACTTTGTAAGAAGTTGTCACCATTTTCACAGGCATATCGAAAAATGATAGTAAACAGAATAATGTATTCATGTTGCCCAGGACCGAGCCAAGTGATATTACAGAGGGGAGTCTTTCGAACACCTATCCTCCTTCCCAAAACTATATCGTACAAGTGACACCCATACTCCAATTACGTCTTTCCCAGATCGTCCTCTTAACTTCCAACTCTTTCAGACCAAGGAGTCAGTCTGAGCCATTCCACCTCCCTCCTTCTCCTTCACATTCCCGCCTAAACCAGCAATCGGAGCCCCCCTCTTCCCGAAAGGAAATTCCAAAGCCCAATTGAGTCGTCAAGAACAAGAGATGTCAAGCAAGGCCGGGTAGACAACCCCAGTTCGCACCACGCACTTAAGCACCCCCCTCCCGCTTAGCATACTCCTCCTCCATCCTCTCCTCATAAAGCCGATCAGCCTCCAATTCAGCCTCGGTCTTGGGCCTGCTGCTGCCTGCTCCGGTGTTCACTCCGGCGCCGGTGGGCTTTTGGTGGGAGGAAGACTCATGCACGTGCTCCTTCTTGTCCTGAGCGTGCTTGGAGGCGTTGAGGATGCTGGAGGTGACGGTGTCGGGAGGAGACATTTTGGTGGTGTGTTTGGGGTTGGATAGTAGGGAGAACAGGGTGACGGTGTTTGGTGGGTTTGAGGGTTTGAGGGTTTGAGGTTTTGAATGAGTTGTTGTTCTTGACTGATTGTCTCAAAGTGTCGAGAGGTTGGAAGGATTGGCTGTGGTTGTGGTTGGTGGTGGTTTGGCCGGGTGGGGTGATTCAGACTAGTTCCTGATCGGGTCGCAGCGGCTTATAGAGTTGAGGAACAGGCAATGTTCTGATTTGATGATGAAGATAGGAAGTGATAGTCGAGTTCGATTGAGGAAATGTCCGTTAGAAAACGATTAAATATCAGAAAACAAATGGAAGGCTGCCTCCCGTGGCAAAGGTGGCGAGCGTTTGTGGCTACGTAATACCTACGGTAGTACGCGTCTTTTGGGGGGCAATTGGGGTAACATCTGGATATCGCCGTATATACGACGGAACTTCTTTGTGGTTTCATATCCACCAAAACTCGGCCAAATTCCCAACACAGCCCAAGTAGTTCAAGTCTCGATCCTTGGCGTTTCCACCAGGCGCTTAGTGACGGGCTAGGTGTATGCTTGTTGTGTTTTGTTGTGTTGTGAATGTTGACAGAAAGTAGAAGATGGTGATTGTGGAGTTCACCTGGAGGTAGCGCCGTGTATGCCACTAACACTTACACGCTGCGAGACATCTCGGAAGACATCGGTCACCGAACCGCATACATGTCTTCCACGTGTAAAAGAAAACAAGTTGTACAACATCGCATCCAGAAATATCATTAGGTATCATGGTATATATAGTCAACAACCTCCAAGCTCCTCTATGTGCACAATGTCAACACCGATCGCCAACGACCTAATCACAACGCTGAGAGCTCTTTGCCCAGCGACCACACCCAAGACTTCCCCCAACCCGTCATTCAAAGCTTTGCAACATCTCCCTCCGTAGCCGGCACGCACTTCAACTCTACCCTCCTCCTAATCTTCTCTCTAATCTCCTCCTCCGTATACGGGCTCAACGTCGTCGGATCCAGTTTCTTCTCCTCCAAAGTCCCCGACTTGATCGTGGTAAACGTACTCCTCGTCGTGCTCTTCTGCTTATCATCATCACCATCAAACCCTCCCTCAGAGGCCGTCGGCTTCGTAACCCTTGCAATAAACCTCGACCATCCCTCCATACACCTATCGGCCTCCCTCAGATTCTTCAACAACATAGCAAAGCAATGCGGCATACCCTCGTACTCCTCAAACGTCACAGAAACCCCCTCGGCATGGAACCGTGCCGCCGTGAACTTGTCCTCGTCCGCCAAGATCTCCCAACCCGTGCAGATGTACGTCGGCGGCGCGCCGCGCCAGCTGGGCGCCAGCAAAAGAGACACGAGCGGGTGCATGATGTAGTCGTCGGCGACGTATATGCTCATGCGCGGCGGGTTGGCTGGCCAGGCCGAGCACGGGTCGCGGCCCTTCTCGGATTTTTCCTGCACCTCGATGCTGGGGAGGTAGTCGAAGGGGGCGTTGGTGACGCACGAGGGCGAGCTGTGCGTGATGTCCATCCAGGGCGAGTTGACGGCGACGCCGGCGGGTAAGGGGACGGAGCGCTCCTCGCCGAGCCAGGACACGGTGGTGCCGGAGCGCTGCAGTTGCATGATGAGCTGGAGGAGCGCGAGGGAGAGGTTGCCGCCTGCGCTGTCGCCGGCGATGACGATGTGCTCGGGCTTCACGGCTTCGTGGAAGGCGTCGGCAGGTGGGTAGAGTAGGCCGAGGTACGAGACTAGGGCGTCCATGACCGCGGCCGGGAACGGGTTCTGGGGTGCGAGCCGGTAGCGCACCGAGTAGCATCTGCCGCCGGTCCGCTTGGCCAGTTCTCTGCACGTAGGCCGATGTGTGGCCGGGTCCATGAGCCAGTAGGCGCCGCCGTGGAAGTAGAGGACTGTGGTCGGGGTCTTGACGTCTTTCATCATCTCGTCGTACTTCTCCCGTTCTGGGATATCGGGCAGCTTCGCGTCCTTTGGCACGCCTGGCCTGTGTGCTGTCCACTCTGCCTCCACGGGAAGGACTTCGGGTAGTTGGATCCTGGCCGTCTTGGGTTGGTCACGGTCTTGAAGCCCGTCGATGACCTTGTTCAAGGTGTCATGGATGGCGCGCGCATCCTCCTCCGTTGGGATGGGTAGAGTGTACTTGCTGACCCATATCGTGCCGCTAATCGGGGGTGCTGTCGAAAGTATCTTCTGCGTAGAAGTGATACTCTTAGGCTTGGGGACATCTATAAACGAGCGGAGCATGGCGATGATGAGTTCCGTCCGCAAATCCTGGTATTTTGACGCCGGCGAGGTCTGCAACATGTGAAGCAGGGCCACCCGGGCCATAAGCGGGATTTTGGATACCAGCTGGAGGAAGAGGACGGTCTTGTCCATGGCGGCGGGCTTCTTGGTGGGTTTGGAGGTGACGGATGGGTTTGATGTTGAGGACATGGTATCAGATCACGAGGGGAGAGTTGTCTTTTATATCAGACCTGAGATCCATAAGAATAATGGGGTATTTCGGGTATCTAGTCATCTCCTAGCGCTTACACGTGGAGACTGGGGAAGGCTTGCGAGCGGAAATATCTCAGCGAATCTGTGGAGTAGTTGTATTATTTATCATGATGGTGGTGGGAAAAGGAGCGAGTTGCGAGAGCCAAGCGAAGAATAACAATGCAATAACACAGTATCCAGAGCAACGGACTTGACTTGCATCCCGTCCGTGACCAATGTCCCGCAAGCATTGCCCGAACAAGTAATAGCTACGAAATCAAGACATTGGCATCTGCAACCCTAGAACGAAACAATCCATGTGGTGTACCTAGTCAATGTCTTGAACCGGGGATGTCGTAGCAGAGAAGATTCCGCATCCGATCTCTCGGGTGCGCGTGCGCTACGCTGATGTAACAATTCGCTTTAATACCTACATTCTCTACCTAGTTCACTGCAGAGGCGCGGTGCTCTGATTGCACCGATGTGGATGAAAGCCCTATATTTAGGGGTGTAAGCTGAATAAGCAACTCCCTCTTTGACCGTTTGCGCATCTCTATTCGACCATGGCATTTTTGCCCCTCCAGTTTTGTGGCCGAGGACAACAATCAAGAATTGCCTCGGCAATCCCATAGCAGCGGTCAAAGATAGGGAGATATACTGGGCAGTCAGGTGTCCGGGATGTCTCAGGTCAGTTCATGACCTAACCTCAAGAAATGTGAAAATAATAGTCTTTGATATCATGCTCTAATGCCATGCAACATCCGCGCTTAAAACCTTCTTGAAATCCAAACGCGCTATCATAATAGGGGACTGAATGAGTGGTCCCATGCTTCACAATGCTACTGTGTCCTGTCCCGCTTAAACAACGTACAGGAGCCTATTACTGTACAGAAAACAAGGGGGAATCGCTCATTTTGGTTTATGTTCATGCCGATTAATGTATCCAGTTCCGGTGCTATTTTATCGTTGTGCCTGGTTGGAGAACAGCTTTTTAAGCGGCTTCGTCGCCTCCGTTGCTGCTGGCTCCATCATTCGCAGTACCGTTCGTCACTCCGACCGTCGAAGCCGAGGCGGTTTTGTTGGCCATGGCCAACTGCCAAGCAGGGATAGTCGGCTTGCCTGCGGAAGCGATTCCGCTGCTGAAAGGCGAAGGCCTGGGGGCGGCAGGTTGAACGAACTGCTGCTCCTGCTGGTATTTGGGTTGCTCATCCTGCACACTCGCGGCTCTGCTGTTGGGGTCCACATTCTCACCGCCGAGGGCTGGTGTAGCAGGGGCCGAAGAAGGGATCGCGTTTCCGTTAGCGTTGGGGCGAAGGTAGTTGTTGACGCTAGTCGAGGTGGCGGTTGGGTTCATGCGTTGCGAGATGAGGGTCTTGAGGCTCTTGAGTTCGGTGTTGAGTTCGCGCAGCCTGTTGTCGGTCAAGTCCTTCTGGTTGTTGAGTGCCCTTGGAATCGAGTCTCTGAGGTTTTGCACATCGTCCCGTACTCTCTGCGCTTCGTCGTCCCTGCGTCTGTTGGCCGCCTTGAGGTCCCTGACGACAGTCTCCAACTCCTCAAGGGCATTGTCGAGCCTCTCTGTCCTTTCCTGCTCCGAAGCCTTGAGGACTTCGGTATCCTTGGCCAGCTGCTCAACCAGTTGGAAGGTCTTGTCGAACTGTTCGTCAACGGACTTCTTGTCCTGCTCGAGACGCTCCGGCGTGGGAGGAGCAATAAGAGGATACACATAGCGCTACCAACTAGTTAATACCTCCGTTAATGCATACTGCAAGGTGGTTTGACGGCCTACCTTGCCGAGGTTGTACAGGCCGTACGACGCGCCTCCAACTACGGTCGCCAAAATGAACAGGTCCCTCCAGTCCCGCCTGGGACCCTCGGTAGTCGACTGCGGCCATGCGTATGGGGGATAGCCATAGTACTGCGGAGAACCACCCTGTGCTGCGACGGGTCCGGCCGACTGAGCATAGGCGGGCGACTGGGCGTACGGTGGCGGTGGACCTCCTGATTCGGCGCGGGCGAGCGCAGCGCTGACTTCTTCCTGGGAGAGGTTCTTTGCTTGGAGAAAAGCGATGCGCTTCTCGATTGGCGAGGCGGCGACACTGGGGTCTTGAAGAACTGTAGTGTTGTTGTCGTGTGAGCTTCTGGCATCTCAATCTCAATGTCGAGGTAGCAGGGGACAAGACAGGGGCAGAACATACACTGCGCCGCTGAAGCGACCAGGTCCTCGCGGATGGCCATTTCTGATGTTGTTTAATAGAAATGCGACAGATGATGTTCCTTCCTTGGGACTGGCGAGACGAGAGGAAGAGGCAGACGGCCGGAACAGTCGCGACGCGATGGCAGATGGCGGTTGATGGAATAATTATTGAAGGAGACTGAATGCGATGGGATGACAGGAAGTGGAAACAAATGGCAGGTTGGTTGCCGTTCGGTTCGGGGGGAATGGCTGGGCCGCTGGATGGAGTCCTGAAGCCGAGGCTCATGGGACCGGGGTCTGGCTGTGCGCTAGACTGCCAGTAGTATCTTAACAGCTGCTCATTACTTCCACACCCATTATGTCCCCGAACGAATGTTGATCTGATAGTTCCCCATCTCTCCCTAATTCTCCTTTTCCTCTGACAGGCCTAGAGCGCAGCTGAACATTGCAGTGACTGGCTCAGAGTGCAGAGCTGAAAAGCACCTGAAGCGAATCAACACCCTCAAGGTCGCTTTGGATCCACTCTTTCACCCCCGATGTTTTGGCACTGTTTGGCCCAATGATTCCCACGGCCCCACTGCCTTTCTTTTGTTTACACTTCTGACGGAGCAACCTCCCCCACCATCCGCTCTCTCACAGCACGGTAGAGGTATCTTATCCGTGCCGGCCTGCATTGCTGCCGTACTTTATCGCTTGGACACGACGAAATCCGCGACTGCGGTTTCGCATTTGATGCATTGCCTTCAGAACCGCGCGAATACATACCAACATTAGCTCAAGCGCATAGCTATCCGAAATAATCACCATCACGAGAATTATCGCCGGCATCTATTCGACAGAGTTACACCCAGTCTAGTACTCTTCTCTTTTTGTTTATATTACCACGGCAATCACGCGACTAGGACGGCAGAAGTGAGGCGCACGTTGACGAGGCCTTCGCCGTCATGTCGCAAGACAGCAACGCAGGCCTATGGAGTGTCCGACGGCCAAGGGAGGTGCGACTTCCCCCCGTGACTTCTTCATATGTTTCCGCGATCGAGACCACTCCCCTTCCGATGCGACGATAAACAATATTGACTCCTCTCTCTAGACCCTTCATGGCGTCAACCTCAACTCGGGCATCCCGGCACCACCCTCCACACTCAAACGACAAAGCACGATCGGCACGATAGGAACGGGCCATGGCCGCTCTCTGTCGGGGAGGCAATCTCTGGCCCTCCCGCGACCGAGCCAACCTCTTTTCCAGCGATCCTCCGACATTGGCCTGGGCTCGGTGAAGCGTGCGTCCGTTCATAACATGAACACGTCGCAGTTCAAACCTTATGGCACCCCAGGCAGTTCCGGTATCACTCGATCATCGCAAGAACTCGACCGACGAAGCAGCGTCTACCGCCCGAGCGCACGACCATCGGCCGTCGGCGGAGGTCCCTTAACTGGTGGGCATATGAGCTTCTTCCAGCAAGCGCCCCAACCCGCCGGCGTGCCTCGCGATCCGCGCCCCCTCAAGGACCGTCAATTCCAGAATCGCATTGGCCAGGAGTTGCTCGAGTACCTAGCCAAGAACAATTTCGAGATGGAGATGAATCACAAGCTGTCCGACAACTTCACAAAGTCGCCAACACAAAAAGACTTTAACTACTTGTTTCAGTGGCTTTACCACAGGATAGACCCGAGCTACCGGTTTCAGAAGAATATCGACCAGGAGGTGCCGCCATTACTCAAACAGCTGCGATATCCGTACGAGAAGAGCATCACCAAGAGCCAAATCGCCGCGGTCGGAGGTCAGAATTGGAGCACGTTCTTGGGATTACTGCACTGGATGATGCAGCTAGCACAGATGCTAGAAGGATACGCCCGACACCAGTACGACGACGCCTGTATGGAAGCCGGAGTCGACATTGCGGGCGACCAGATCATCTTTGATTTCCTCACCAGCGCATACCAGGACTGGCTCAATATGGATGACGAAGCAGGTGATGAAGACGTGGAGAGGGCACTACAGCCGCATGTGCAGGGGATGGCGGAGGCATTTGAACGCTCCAATGCCAAGTATATCCAAGAACTGGAGATTCTCGAAGGGGAAAATGCCCGCTTATTGAAGGAGATTCAGGAGCTCGAAAAGTCGACACCCGACCCGGCCATCTTGGACAACCACTTCAAGATTATGGAGGAGGACAAGATCAAGTTCGAAGAGTACAACACCCTAGCCATGCAAAGGACAGAAAAGTACGAAAACCGTATCCAGGTTCTCCAAGAGGAGCTAGGCAAGCTCCATGTCGAGCTGAAGGAGGCCGAGGAGGAGCGGCGACAAATGCAGAAGGCGGTGGATGACCAGGGGATTAGCATGCAGGATATTGACCGCATGACCTCGGAGCGGGAACGTCTTCAAAGGAGCATCGAATCCGCTTCCCAGAGGCTCGAGGACGTCAAAAAGAAGGTTGCCGAGCGCGAGATGGAAGCAAGCCAGCGTCTGGACGAGCTCGAGCGGTTGGTCGAAAAGTACAACACGGTTGCCTACCAGATCGGTCTAATCCCAGCCACGGCGGTCAATGCCAAGGGGAAGAATTTCGAGTTGCAGGTAACCGTGAACGAGGGGGCGCCCAACTTTGCATCGTCGATGCAAGGCGTATTAGGACCAAACGGGCAGCCATTGGGCGGCGTGGAGAATGAGAGGTTGCTGGCCGACTCCACGACGGGATACCAGCCTGCGCATATCATAAATCTGGATCTCCGAGGCCAAGTTAAGAGCAGCTTCCTGGCACTCAGGAAGGAGGTCTCGGAGAGAAGGAAGGTGGCCATGGATGTCATGATGGAGGACCATGACTTGCTCGATCGCGCTCAGGAGGCGATCGAAGATAAGCGTAATGAGGTCGAAGCCCTTGAACATCGGTCGCGGGCGGCAGAGGAGGAGTATGAAAAGACTAAAGAGGTAATTCAGTGCTGCATGCCCTGCTTATTCAGTATTGCTCTTGCTAACGATGAGTCCAGGTCACCCACGCCCAGAAAATGGCTTCAGATGCCCAGATCGAGAAGATGGAGAAAGAGCTCGCCAAGATGCGGGCACAACTGTCTGAGTCTGTGCAGCTTATGGAGCAGAGGGAGATGAACACCAATATCGAGTGGGTTTGCCCATGGCTCTTTCCGCGATAACATAAGGTGTACTGACAAGTGGACAATAGGTATGAGCAACTCACGCTCCGAGCCAACGCACTTCGCGAGGAGCTCCACACGGAAACGATGCGCATGCTCAACGATGTCATCAAGTTCAAGATGCACGTCCAGCGAAGCCTGGAGGAGTACGAGACTTTTGTAGCAGACGAGCTCGAACAGGAGTTGGGGATTGACGACCAGGAGATGGAGGATGAAGATACCCCGATGGTCGATGTATAAGTCGACGAAAAGCAAAACCAAAGCTGTTTCTTTTCACTGTTCATATTCAAAATGTTGGATTTGGATTGGATTGAATGGGAAGCATTTATGAGAAATATGAATTGTATGGGGCTACTACTGTCAGGTCATTATCAGGATGCTTGCTGGACATGAGCTGGATTCCGGATACCTTTGGGTGAGCCAGGCGTTGGTCTTCGAGTTGCTTGTTATGAGTAATGCCACTTTATTGCTATGGATGGACCTTTTGCGAGCCTCTGCGTGATTGCCCATGTAGCATTGACATTGAAAGCCGTGAAATTCCACATCGTGATAATAGGTGCCTGGGTTATATGGCTTGTATAAACTATAAAGAGGTATCCGAGCCTGAACGACGTCAAGTTCCACACAGACGGGAACCCCCAAACCGTTCCTGTCTTTCAGGGCCAGGGGGCTGATTTAAGCTCACAGATTGACAGCCCCACTAATGATGCGGCCCGGAGCTAAACCTACCCCACTAACCACGAGCTTCGACTTCCCCGGACCGGACGCCGACCCAAGCACGTCAGGAAGCTAGGAGCTTCGTCTCTCACACAGATCACACTCTCAACCTTCATCTTCCACTCTTGAACATTCCCATCATTCGCCTTACCACCGCTACGTACAGTCGTCTAAGTTGCCGTATCTTACTCTCCATCATCGTCACCGACCGAATCTCACCACTCAAAAAATCATCTACCTACACCCGACCAACCTCAAGCCACCTACCAAACTAGTCAACCAACCGGTCCTCAAACCCCCTCCAGCCGCAGCCAAAATGTCAACAACACCTCCCGCCCCCTCAGACTCCAGCACCCCCAACAACCCAAAGTCAACAACAGCAGGCACCCTCCTCCCAAACGACACCTACCCCTTCCCGCGCGAATTCTTCTTCCCGCCCTTCTTCACCCGCCAAACCAACCTAACGACGCACCACGCCCAACTAACCAAATGGTCCTCCCTCTTGCTGTCTTACTGCCGCCACCACCGGCTCTTTCGCGTATCCCTGTCGCCTGACACCCTTCCCTTCAACAACCCGCGCATCAACCGCCGGCTGGCGTTGGGTGATATCAAAGGGGTAGTGGACTTTTTGAAAAAGGATGGACGGGCTGAGTATGTTCCTCTTGGTCAGACCAATAAAAAGGATGGGACGACGACGACGACAAGAGGAGGAGGGGGAGCTGGTGAGCAGGAAGGCGGGGAGGCGTTCATCTACTGGCGGACACCAGAGGAATGGGGGACATTAATTGAAGGATGGGTGGAGGAGACGGGGCAGCGCGGGAGCGTGTTGACGGTTTACGAGCTGAGGGAGGGTGAGGGGACGAGGGGGACGGAGATTTGGGGGATGGATGGGGATGTGCTTGTCAAGGCGCTGGGGACGGTGGTCAAGAGGGGGAAGGCGCAGATTTTTCAGAGTGGGGAGGATTCGTTGGGAGTTAAGTTCTTTTAGACCTGAGCGGAGGGGGGGATGAATGGAGGAGTAAAGGGATGGGAAGGGGGAGAGGTTGGCTGGTTGGGTGGGTGGGCGTGGATAACAGAAGTACGGGGGCATAAACATGGGCTATGGAATATGTCAGCGATGAATCGATGTGTTGATGAACGTGTTCTGTTCACTTGGGGTTGCGAGACCGGTATACTGGTAGATGGAATGTGTTCCACTGTTGAGCAAGGCTTTGGTTCTGGATTTGCTTACGAAAACGCAGGGACATCACAAGGTTCTAAGTTCGGGAATCTGAAGGGAGAGATGGACATACACAGTAGCGGTACAGCGAGAATGTGGCGGTCTCCATACCTCACAAAGTTGTTTTTTTCGCTAGTGTGTATGATGATCGGTGATTATTGTACATAATACAGCCCGGCAGTAACTTTCATGCCATCAAGTGATCCTAGATCGTGCTTGTCCGAGTTGATATGCAAGGAATATCAAGAATGAGCGATAATAAGAAGCACAAACACTGCACATGTCAACGGGAGTCGCGTCATTCTCGTCTTCTAACCAGTGAAACGTAAAGGGTCAATTCCTATTCCTCATTTACGTCCTTAAACCTGCGTCAACCATTTCATTTTTCTGATCCATTTCCCAGAAAATTTTAGTGGCCATAAAAAGTCATCCATCCTCCCGTGATATAGATAAAAAAAAAGAAAAATCGGGTCCAGAGAGATATCGCTCAGCGGAGCGCAAAGCCTCCGATCATGTTCCTATCTGGGTCCTCCTCAAATGCCCGTCAACCAACTGTCACCTCACCGGCAACACCCATAGCCTTCACAAAATAGATCTCTACTCTCTTGGCGACCTGCTCGCATTCTGGCCTTCCTTGACGGCAGCCAGGATCAAGTCCTTGGCCTTCTCAACACCCTCCTTGGTACCAACAACCTCGATAGCCTCACCCTTGGCCTGGTCGCGGGGGACAGTGATCTTGGAGCCGCTCTGCTTGCGGATCTGGTTGACCTTGGTGCCACCCTGGCCGATCACATAGCGATAGGTCCTGGGATCGGGCAAGATGAGGTAGCCAATGGCATCCTCCTTCTTGGCCTGCTCAATCGCAGTCTCGATGACCTTCTTGGCCTTCTCAATGTTCTCGGGAGAGCCGCGGATAACCCAGGGGATGTCACCCTCCTCGGTCGAGGTCTGGTCAACAACAGTCCAGGAGTGCGCGTCAGCAGTCGACTCCTCGTCATCAGTAATCAATGGAAGAGCACCGCCATTTGCACGGATGCTCGCAGGGGCAGCGGGCTTGGCGGGAATGGAATGGCCCGCATGGTCGACGGTGACATGGTGGTCGCTCTTCAGCCTCCTGAAAATCTGACCGTTGTTGGAGACCGAATGGTGAAGAGCGCGGGGGACCTGAAGAGTCTCGCCGGGCTGATCCTTCGTCAAGGACTGGATGTGAGCCTTGGCCTTCTCAACATCGGCAGACTGGCCGACAATCTTGATGCCCGTCTGGCCGCTGCCTTGGCGAGGGACGTCGATGGAGACCTTGAACTGTGACTCGAGACCGCGCTTGACATCGCCACCACGGCCGATGAGAGATCTGTGCTTCTCGACAGGGACCTCAATGACCTCGGTAACCTGGTTTTGGCGCTCAGCAACGATAGCCTCGATTTGCTGAATGATGTTGTCGACGACCGAGGTGCGACCTTCAATCTTGATGGTGTTATCGCTGTTGTCCTGCTTGGGGAACTGGACAGCACGAGCAATCTCGCGACGATCGTCGGAGCCGCCGGCCTTGACAACAATGTCACGGATGGTAGAGCCTACGGAGAATTTAAGTTAGTACATATTTCGCTGCATGAGCTTGACGTGTGACAGTAACTTACCACCTGCGCCAATGAGGCTCCTGTGGTACTTCCTGTCAACCTCGACAGTCTTGACAACGGTATCCTCAAAGACGGCCTTCTTCGCCTCCAAGGCCTTCTTGGCAGCAGCAACGGCCTCCTTAGTGCCCTTGATCTGAATCTCAACAAGGCCGTCGGCGGTGTCGCGAGCGCTGGGGATGTCGATGACAGCCTTGGTCTCGTTACGGAGCGCATCGAGAGCAGCACCACCAGAGCCAATGAGCGAAGGAATCTGCTTCTGCTGGACAGTGACGGTAGCAGTGTAGGAAGTATCCTTCAGGTACTGCAACAAAGAGAGCAACTCGTCACGAGCCTCGTCAGCACCACGCTTAGGTCCGCGCACCATGACTTCGTCAGCAGCCTGTTGGCGGCGCGGCTTGCCGGCATCAGAAGCCTCGGCAACAGACTCGTCGTCGTTGGAGGCCTTTTGAGTGCGAGGGAAGAAAATCAAGACCTTGTAGCGAGTCTGCAGTCGGTTGATCTGTGCACCCTGAGCACCGATCAAGGCCCGATGGAACTGCGGGTCGATCTTGAGGATGTGAGTGGCCTCATCCTGGAGTTGACGGCCCAAAGCAAGGATGTGGGTCTTGGCCGCCTCAGCCTTGGCCTTGGGACCCTTAAGCTCGACCTTGCCGTCCTGAACCTGAATATCAACATCGAACTTCTCACGGAGCTCACGGATGTTGCTACCGCCCTTGCCAATCAGGTGGTTAGCAAACTTCTGCGGGAATTCAAACTCCAAAGTGAAGCCACGCTCCTTCTCATCAGCCTTCTCTTGCTCAATGAAGGCCTCGCACTTGGAAGCAAGGTTCTCGACAGCAGAACGAGGGCCCTTGATGTTGACCGTGGTGCCGATGTTAGAGACACGGGCGGGGATCTTCTCCTGGCTTCTGCGCTCATCCTGCTCCTTCCGAATAAACTTCCTAAGCTTGTCGTGGTACTTCTGGGGAACATCCAGGGAGGCCTGGATGATCTCCTCTTGCTGGTTAACAAGGCCGATGATGTGCTGGCGGGCGTCCTGCAACCACTTCTGCATCTCGCTGACCTCGGACTGGCTAGGCTGACCGCGAGGAATCTCGTAGCTAGTCGGGTTAGAAGGTCCCTCATACACCAAGAGAACAGGGGCGTTGGCCTCAGTAGTCTCAGGGACAACCAACTGCACCCTGTAATCATGTCTGACACGGGGAGTAATATCCTTGCGGATGTAAGTGTGGAAGAAAGGATCAACCTGAACAGCCTGAATACGAGCGGGAGGGTGGCTGTCCACAAGACCCTTGATTTCGGACTGGGCCCTAATGGCGTTCTTGCCATCACGAGCATAAAGCTCCCAAGGCAAAGCGCCCTCGCTCGAGAAAGGAGTGTTCACCTGGACATTGTGTTGCCTCTCGAGCTGCTCAATGGCCTTCCGCTGACGAAGATAGCGGGTCACGTTGCGGGCATGGGCCGCAGCGCCTCCAGGAGCCTGACGGTGGAATCTGGAGATGTCGATGTTGGAGCACTGCATGTTCATAGCGAGGTCCATGGCCCTCTCGAGACCAGCCTGAACCTGGTCTTGGGGTCCAATAATGGTTACCATGTCATCATCCTCATCGTTAGGGAGAATGATGGCGCAACCGGTGTCCTCGAAGAACTGGTCAACAGGCACACCCCTGTCTCCGATAATGAACTGGTGACGGCCACGCTGGATCGACAGCTGCTCCAGAGCGAGCTGACGGCGAAGCTCCTCGGCACGTCTTTCAATGGCGGCCCTCGCATTTTGAACAGCGGTACGCTCACCGGCGAGCTGAATGTTGTAGTCCTGAGGAGCAGGCGCAAAGATGGGGCGTTGCCCAGGAGCAGGGACACTGGGGGGTTGCAGGGACTGTCCCTGGAAGGGAGGAACGCGAATCTGAACTCCCATGTCTTCTTCAAGCTTGTGTACCAGGTTGTTCTTGGGTCCGGCAATGAATGGGTAGAACTCGGCGGGGATATTGCGCAACTTGGTCTGGACGTTGGCGGCGCGCTCACCGGCAATCTTATCAATTTCCTGCTGAGCTGCTGCAGCAGAAAAGGCGTTACCCTCGATGTGGACGTTGATCATGGTATCATCGTCCTCGTCTGCAGGAGGCTGGGACTCGTCAGCCTTCGGTAGCTGGATTCTCGCTCCGGTCTTCTCCTGAATAGCCTTGATGGTGGAACCGCCCTTGCCGATAATGTGCGCCCTCGCCGACGACGGGATCTGAACGGTGATGTTTTGCTGGAAAGAGAGAATTAGCTCCATTATTCACGATTCGATCAACAAAGGGTCTGGGTAAAACCAACCTTGGTGCCGATTTGGTTAACCAAGTCCTTGAGCGCCTGGGTGGCATGCTCTTGGGGACCAACAGCGTCGAACCTGAGCTGGCCGTTACCCAGGGCGTGCATGGTCACGTTGGCGCGAGCCTTGCGGTTCAAGTCCTTCAGAATATCGGGAAGAGGACGCTTGAGCTGAGTCCTGGGAAGGATGTGGGGCGGGTCAAGCAACATAGTTTCGACATTGCGACCCGGGATGCTCAACGGATGTGGCCCGGGCCCTTGCCGTCCGGAGCCGATCGGGGTGCTAACACCGGAAGGCGGTGCCGAAGTCTGCGGAGTGCCGTTGGCCGGAGCGGCGCCATTGGTGCTTCCATTGGCGTTGCTCTTGGCACCCCAGATGGGGGCAACAACACTCGCTTTGGGCTTGGGCCCGCCCAGCTCGGGGAACAGCTCGCGGGATTGCGTGTCGAGCGTCTTGGGCTTGGGAGCGGGCTTGGGCGCGGCGGGAGTGTCTGAGCTAGAGACGGGCTTGTGAAGGTCCTCGTCCTCAACCTCCTCGACAAGGACGCGGTGGGAGGAGCCGGCGTCGGAAGCTGTCTCCAGATGCTGTTGCAAGAGCTGCGCGGCAGCTGACTGCTCGGTCGAGTCGGCCATTATGATGGTGATAATGATAAAAGGCGATAAAGTACCAAGGAACTGGGGGTACGGAACAGGCGCTTCTCGTTATCTGATGCGGAGGTTGTGGTTAGATGGCTGTGCTAGAGTAGAGGTAGGGGGAGCTTGGGAGCTGTGGCAGATTAGGGGTCGGTATCCGGGATGTTGAGTCCGAGACGGGAACTGCAGCTTTGGTGGTTTCCGCGGTCTGAAACATTCCAAAACCCGTTTCGTTGCTCGTGAAGAGTGTGAAGGGGAAAGGGGACAGGAAGGGCAGGGCAGGGTAGAGCAACCAAGCAGGCTGAAGTAAGTGGCTCAGTTGCGGGGGTGGGAGCAGGTGGTGTAACTCACAGCGCCGGAAAGTAGTGACGTTGATTAAAAATTGTGTTGGGAGAAAGGACCACCTAGCAGCTCGAAGCTTATAACCTAAAGGTTCGGCAGTGCCTGTGAAATACCGAAGGGTAGGTAAAAAGCTAATCCAATGCAGGACAGATAAGAAGACGAGACGGAGGGGGAAACGGGCGAGGAGACTCGATGACAATAGGTGGCAAGCTTATTGTTGGTCTCTCTATAGCATGATGCACAGGACTGGCGATCAATCCTGGGGGTAGGTGGTGAAGGAGAAGAAGGGGAACCTCAATGGAAGGAGTCTCTAAGAGGGGGAGGGGGGAGAGTGGATGGAGCGGATGGAGGAAAAAGTTAAAGGTTCGGGACGGCGACGAGCCAAAAGGCGGCGAACAAAAGAGGTTATAGCGGACCGGAGCTCGAAGAGGCCACAATTGCCCGTGCCGTGGTCGGGTCAATGACAAGCTGGGTCCTGGAGGCTAGCGTGGGCCGTAGGGACCTGGTCGTGAGGTGGATAAAAGTGGGAGTTGTGTCCAGAATGGGGTTGTCCTGGAAGCTCGCTGATACGCTGCAACATGTTCAACATCTCCAAAAAAATTGTCTGGCCAGTTCCCCTCCACGGCTGCTGGGCCAGTCCAGGCGGGCGAAGTGGCAGGTACGTACTCTAGCCTTTGGGTACTGGCGAACCATTCCACTTGTGGCTTAGCACACGCATGAAAACCGCAGCACCCAAAAGACCGGGCCAATGGCGTGTCGAAATTCAACCTCAATCGGCTCTGACGAACTCTGGCCGTTACCAGGCCCGCCAGGCTGGCACACTGCTGGCTGCCGCACAAAAATGTTGGGCAATTGTCCGAAGCAGCTCGCATCAACAGCTGCCAATTCCCGTCCAGAAGCTCCTGGCGGGCCGTCCTGACGAGGAAAAGGGGCTCCTGCTTCATTCACATGGCATCAACACCTCCTGATCAATTGTCAACACCAGGACCTGCCGTCCTCCAGAGTGCAACTCGGGATGGGAACGTGTGTGTGAAATTTTAGTTCTACACCAGACTCGCATCAATTTGCAGATCAGACACTTCTTCACGATGCGTCCTCACTGGCTACGAATCCTTTGCAGCCGTCACCTTGCAATGTCCTAGCTGGAGGATTCCAGCAGATTCTCGATGTTTCCAGTCCGATCTCTTCTCCCCTTCCAGCATCCCACACCAATATACATCGTTTGATGAACTCACCTCCAACCATGCCGTGCAAAGTGGTTTTAGCTAATCGAATGGGGTCAGTTTGAAGAACCAACAGCCACCAGTGCCTATGATTTCCGGTTCTGTGGCCCAACAGCCTCAAGGCTAGAACTCATCAGCTTCGTCTTTGACCCACGTGCGTCACGTTCTGTTCGGCGTTCGGACCGTGATCTGAACTGAAGTCGAGGTTGAGCTTTCCCAATCATATACAGAAGATATCCGCATCACAGCATACGAGTAACAGGCCAACTGAAATGCGCATCATGAGCGAGACCACGGAGACATTGCATGATATCGTCGAGTGAAGATCAGTTAGCGCACGAGACACTTGATATATCGACATCGATGCCATCAAACAACTCTGCTTCAATCACGAACAATGGCATTCAAGTCTTTCAGAGTTCGTACCTATCCCAGTGGCTGAAAGAGAAAACGGCAATCTTGCCTGTGAAATATCAGCAATCTCTCGGTGAGCCTCACTCAGGGGAATTGAGGAACAAATAATGAAGAGAGCCAGCGGACATGAGGAGCACACTGTTCCGGAGATGGTCATGCTGAATGAAGGAAGGGCATTTCATACAGTCATACTGGATGATCTATGCCCTCGACTGGTTCTTCTTGACAACATCTGTGAGCGAATCTTGCAGTCGAAGTTCGGTGTCCGTCGGATCTCCCGACATGAAGAGGCATGCTGGTCGCCAGAGCTTCCTGGATTCTATCCTTTCTTGATAGATCCGTGACAAGTGTCTCTGCTATTCCTCGTTCATGGAACATCCTCCAATCCTTGAGCAACACCCGAAAGGAATCATCTTCTTTTTCACTGCCAATATTTTGCGCTTATATTCCTTTTATCCCTTCTTGGTCGAGTTACCAGTCAAACAGTCAGAGGAGACACCGCAATTGTTCTCGACAACGCCGATAGCGTCTCGCAACTCCCGAACTGGACTCTCAGCATCATGACCACCTGTGTACATTGGGATCATGCACTGAACCTCCTTGATATTTGTCCAGCAACAGCTTCTATCATAAGCTATGCCGGAAAATGAGTCTCAACGGGAGTGAGCAAGCATAGGAAGACACCGCGATATTCTCCCTGGTAGAGCTCTACCCTGAGTTCCTAACCAGCCAAAGTCCAAACAGCACCTACTCCCCACTCAGCTCATGATAAGCCAGCAACAAAAAAAAGGAAGCATGGAAGAAACAAGTTAAGAAAAGTATGGGAGGACAAACATAAAGTGAAAAAGAGAGCGGCAAAAAAATGAATTTGCTCGCAGACCGCACGCCTAACGACAACTTCTAAGAAACCGCAGCCTCACACTAATTCTTCAATTCAAACGGCCTCTCATCGCAGACCGCACGTCTAACGACTATAATTCTTCAATTCTAATTCCCGTCGCCAGACCGCACGTCTGACGATGAAAACGCTTCTTCGTTGACCCTCGTCGAGTGCGTCCACTCGACGGAGTCGTCACCGACCCAACTAATAGTTAGGCGATGGGTAGCTTATCTATAGGAGAACCGGCCTCATCCCGAGTTCTCTACCCTATATATAGCTGTATGTTATGTATCGTGCGCCTATTACAAGTTTATATAGCATGATTCTCTTATCAATGTCACTATAATCTTGGTAACCCCCGTAACTGAACAACTGCCCGCAGCCAACGGCGACTGAGATTTACCACTTACAAACTTCTTTATTAGTTTGTGCAGAAAAGGAGATTGAGACGGAGAGTAAGAAATAGAGAAAATTAAGAAAACGTAAAGAGCGAGAGGTGAAGAGAGAGGTGAAGAGAGAGGTCAAGAAATAATTCGAAGAGATATTTGAAGAGAGGCATTAAGAAAATAACCAACCTGAACACGTCTCTCTGATCCATCACATGAACACGTACATACCAAAACACCAGAGGTAACAACCACCCTTTTGACTCTCTTGACCCTCGGTATTCAAAAGCCCATCATGAGCATGGATATGAATCATGACAGGTCTAGCCGATAAGCTACCTAAACCAACCTGTCAAAAAGAAACAAGACAGACTGAAACTGAAGTGAACACTCGACTCGCTGAATACATATGTATCTGCGTGTCTGTCTGGAAGTAGTGGGGGCGGACGGAGATAAGTAAATAGAACGGTCAAGTTTGAACTTGATAGGATTTGAAAGAAAGAGCGAGCGAGACACACAACGGGCTCAGACGGGTACTCACAGCCACACAGCCCATATACGCATGTCTCCAGTCGCTCCCCGTTCCCATAATTCCCAATCCTTCAAGTACTGAAATCTCCCGTGGTCCAGTTCCCTTTCGAAGCCCCCCAGCCAGGTTCTGCTCAATTCTCAAAGTCCAACGAGATTTGAATACCGAATCCACCCATCATCAGGCCTATGCTATGTACCCGTGGCACCCACCCTTCGGCTCCATGCGGCAGGGTCCCGTTATCCGGTGCCTAGGTACCTATCCATTCCTTTACCTGATCCTGATTTCAAGTCCCTAGCAGAGCGAAATCTGTACATACTTACCGTTCGCAATCCCCCGATCTAGCCGTCTGGTTGCCGTGACGGGTTTGGCGGTTTGGCGGTTTGGCGGTTTGGCAGTTTGGGACATTTCTGTGGTGGTGGATGGTTCCTGTTTCATGTTTCAATTGTGGCGGTTTTGGTTTTGATTCAGAGACAAGTGGAAGTTGAAGCTTTTGTGAGTGAGTAATAAGTGGACTGGGCTTCCAAAGGAGAAGAAGGATCTCCTTGAGTGAATCCTTAATATCCTTTATGTTGCTTCGAAGGACCATGATTTACCGATAGGTCGGCATGATGTATGTCGGCGTGTTAGAGCCCACGTGGTGGGAGTGCACAGTGATAGTATGTAGGGAGTGGTATCGGACACCTTTACCCCCTAGACTAGACCATCTTCTCTCGGCCCTTCCGTTCATGTTTGTCTGGCTGTAAAAGTCAGCCATGGATGAGGTAGGGGGGAATGCCGATTTAGTAGGTGGCTTGTTTGATGTAAAAACATCCCGCGCTTGCCTGTCAAACTTGACCCGATCATCAGAGGTACCATCAACGGCCCGCGCAGTCAAGTCATGGCGAGGACTGGTATGACCGACGGGAACTACGACTTGGTATCGAGTAAACGTGCAAGATGAGAGCTGCAGCAAGATGGGATGGATATTCGGGTTTGTACATTTGCCTTGAGAGTCGGCATATTTACCTCTATGCCTAGGCACATCGACTCGGAAGTGTTATCTGGAACGATGTCTCAAGTTGATGCGGGAGCGTCGACAAAAACGTATCGCTTCATGTTGAACTGGCGCAGAGTTTGCGTATCGGGTAGCGTTAAAACGACAACGGTATCGTATGCTTTCCGTGCGTCTAAGACACAAGCCCCCCTTACCCTGCTTGTCTTTTTCTTCCCGAGTAGCTTGCACTGATTCAACGAACGGTGCAAGTCCAGATCATGGCTCCTGCAGGTACAACATGCTTCCCGAGACCGCCACAGCGGAGGAACATGATGGATTTGCATCTCAGGCATGTGTATTCTACACGTACCGTTGAATGGAAAGTTCCGGTAGGCAGCCCGCTATAAATGGTTGTCCTTGACGTGGTTGCCGATAATCTTCACGGGACTCTTTCGGTAGGGGTCGGGCCCTGGGAGAACGAGAAGATAAAGCCTGTCTCGGTAGGCCCGAGAATTGCATGTTTGGGCAATGATAGAGGTATCCCCTTGAGCCGGCTATGATGCCGGATCATCGTTGTAAAGCCAAGGCGGGAGACGAACTCTCACCAGGGATGAGGTTCTCGGGGCTTATCACGCCTCGTGCAGTTCCCTCGTCCGCGATCCCTTGTTCATATCCATCTAAGCAGGCTTCTGTCAGGTTTCTGGAAGACCAGCGAAGATGCATGGCGCGCGGCACGGCAAAAAAAGGGTGCCGGGTTTGTTTCCGCGCGCAGGAGACGACGAATGATCCCGATCTCAGATGCCGAGTGACGAGTGACGAGAGGTGTCCAGCGAGGTCCAGCGAGGTCCAGCGAGCCCCGGCAGAAGGGCTATCCATGGCATCATGGTATCCCAAGCATGGAGCTCGATATAGGTCCTGCAGAAAAAGGTACGTATGTAGGTAGTAACCTACCTACAAGCACCCTGCAGAAGCGCCTTTCACGTACCGCACCGACTGTTGCAGCACATGCGCTGCAGTTGCAACACACATGCCGTTCGGGCTCGAGGTGGTATTTGCATGACAAGCGCGATATGTACCTGGCCAAGAGTTATTACCTACTTACTATGTATAAAGCCCCTCCTTGACGATTATCATGAAAGATGAGAGACTCTAATAATGACCCTTGTCGACAAGAATCTGGCCGAGTGTTGTTGAGAATGGTGTCGATTCGCAAAACTAGGCATTGTATGAGGTTGGCGCCCCATGGGATAGTAGGCCGTCGGGTTGTCACTCTCCTTCTGGGCTACGGCTGTTGTCGATTCTGCTTCTTTCCCTTCATTCCCGGATGAAGGGTGACAGAAACCCTCAAAATCTCGTATATCGAGTTGCTCCCGCGGCATTGTGTACCTCATGGTGAGACTTGTCACTGCGTGCAAACTCCATCCGCCAACAAGGTTTTGGGGGAAGGAGAGAAGGTGAAACCTCGTTTCACTGAGGGGAGACACACACACAGGCTTCGCGTCGTGCTTGTGTGCTGGCTTGCTTGTACGTGGAGGTTTGTCTGGTGTTGTGCAATCAAAGAATTCTGGATGGCTCGCTGGGTGCAGTGGTGGGTGAGAGTGACTGCCTCGGAGGTGTTGGCGTGGTCAGGACCGTTAGGAAAAGGAAGACCAAGGCAAAACGGACCTTGTTAGGCCCTTTGGTCCTGTCAGAGTGCGAGGCGCTAACAATTTCTAATTCCTCATAGGACCGTACATGAGTACAAACGGAGTTGGCGGGCTCGACCGTTACGCTGTGGTATCTCACTGCAGATGATACGTAGCTGTCGTTGGTGTAACCACACCTTGGAGCGTAGGGGCGGACCGATTCGACGCTTGAGGATGGTGCTCTGGTGATTCTGTCAAATATCTTGTTCCCAAGTTATGGCCTTTGAGCTTGTTTCTTCAAACAGTTCTGACGCCGAATACCTACCACTTGGGCATGCTTCGCCGTCAACCTTGCCGTCTCCTAAGCTTCCCCCTCGATATCACCGTGTTACTTTAATACCTCGGGAAGATAGTCATAGACTGCAGCGTGGTATGCCATTAGCATTGTCTAACGCCCTGACGCAACGAATTGTCAAGAAGGCGACCACGGGGCCTCATAACGCTGTCGCCCAAAACAGAAAACCATCACCGTCTTGCTTGAGTTGTTGGCTTAACCCCTTTTACATGACTAGCCTGCATAGAGCGCATCACGAAACTTGGCGCTATTCCCAACTCCATGGGTTGGGATCTGGAGAGCGTGAGTGACTAGCCTGCCGTTTTCATCTGGCGGCCGATCGGTAGCACATGGCATTTCACCACGACCAACTGTACGTAGTTATACGGCGAAGCAGGAGGCGGCGATTGCTGGGCTGTTCAACCCATCCACAGACCACAGACCACAGCGTCCCCAGAATCTTGCGAAACACAAGGCTCACTGCAGGAGCGCTTGTCCAAGGACTGCTAGGTCTAGTCTTAGACCTCAAACCTACTGGACCTCCGAAACACGCCCGCCCGCCCCACCCCCCCACACCACCCACCAATCAGCGGACGGGTATACTTTTCTATAGTAGTAGGTCTAAGCTAACTTTAAACGTTTTAACCGTCAACCGAAATTATAACTCTAATTAAAGCGAAGTCTACTAAATCGTACAATTGTAATTATATTCTTTCTCTATATAATATACTCTAATTAAAACAAAATCTACTAAATCGTAATATTTTATTTGCTAAATTCGATGTACTATTTATTTTATAAATTACCCCTTCTAACTTTACCTAATAATTATTTAACGTTCGCGCCTAATTCGCCCAACCTTATATCCGAATTCTCTATCTTCTAAACCAACCTAATTATACTAATATATTTAATACCCCGTATTATTCTAAACCCCGTAGCTTTTAATTTCACCCTTTACCCAATTCCGTTTCTTCTATCGAATCTAACCCCTTACCTATCTCCGTATCCTCTATCGAATCCAATTAATCCCGAATTCTAAAATAAATTAAATTCGGGTATTCACAATCCGGATTAATACTTCACTCGTATTATTTAAAAATATTAAGCCCGCCTTAACCTTAAGAGGGGGATATTAAAATAATTTATCGATAATTAAGTAAAGGTAATTCGAAACAATAATTAATTATCCGGATCCTATATTAAATAATTTATTAAATTATTACGAAATTAAAATATATACGAAACTTTTAATCGCTATAATATTATTATATAATTTAGTAACGAAAATTACTTATATAATATAAAAACTTTCCGTCGGGAATTTATTTCTCTCGTTAAATATTTTAAATTATTTTTATTTTTTATAAAGTTTAACGCTTCTTTTATTTTAAATAATAGTAAACTATATAATATCACTAATTTATATAATATTAAATAGGTTACATTAATTATAAGCGGGTATATTACCGACTTATTTAAATGCGCACTTTAAATATATTTATTCTTTCGGGGTTTAATGAAATATACCTATATATATTAACTATTCTATAAATTACAAATTTGTTATAACAATATTATTTTGTTTATAATATATATAATCTTTATAATAATTATAAATATTATTACCCCTAAGAACTCCGACTTCCTTTCGTAATTTATAAGTTTATATTTATATACTAACGGCGTAACGAAGCGTATCCAAAATATATTAATTATATTCAATATGTATAGTTTGTATATTAGGACTATAATAATAATCGAAACCCTTATAAATATTAAGATAATTAATACCATTACTTTTTATATTATAACTTCAAATTTACACTTTTAAGCCAATTTTAAATATATCGTTTCTAATCCCAATCTTATTATCGTCTACAATAATTATAATTATTTAAATACCGTTTAAGGCCTTAATATTAATTAGTAAAATATAATATATAACTTTATTATTTATTTATTAATAAGTAATTCTAATATATATAGCCTTTTCTGTCCCGATTAATTCTAATTTATTATTCTATTCTAAAAGAAATAAATTATTCTAACATTTGCCTAAATGGTATAAACGTTTCGTCCCGCTTTCTATTCGTTAATAACCAATAAATTACAATCCTTTTTTCTAATTCTCAATTAATAAAACAATCTACCCCGTTATACCTTCTTTAAAATTTAACGATATTAGACGCCGACGAATTTTATCCTCTAAACCCCTACTATCAATAAAAACGAAGGTAAATTCGTAAATATTTGTTACTTATATAATAAACTATTTTTCGGCCTTCTAAGTATAAATTAAACGTAATGTAACGATAGGCTTTTCCTTATTTATATTAATTCAAAGATAATATTCTATATTCGTAAAATCATCTTAATATAGTTAAATATATAGGACGTATATAATTATAAAGAATAAATAGTCTCCGTTCCTATATCTTTTTATATTAAAATAAACTTCGTTAATTTAATTTTTCGATACTTTTGGCCTCTTATAAAATAAAATATATATAACCTTAAGAGAGCGAAAAAGATAAAAGAGCATAAAACTAAATTTTATTACAAGTCGCGGCTTTTTTATAATATATTCTATTTTAAAATTCTTGCCTTCCTTATACGAAATTTAATCGACGCCTAATTTTTAAATCCTACTGCCCTTAGTTGGGAGAGTATTAAGAGTATATTTTCGGCCGCTATTTAAATTAATAGACTCTCTTATTTATTTATGTAATTAGATTACGTTTATAACGAAATACGTACTTAGTAAGGATATATTAATAAATATATAAAAGGTAATAGAATTAGTATTAATATTTAATTATATAGTATCTATTAGTATTTCTATATTATACGTATATTAATTTTTTTTATTTACGCTATTTAATTTAATAATTATAATATACTTTAGTAAATTATTAATTATTTACTATTTTTCTTTTATAATAGAAAGGCTATAAATTATAGGCTCGAAATATTATACTTTTTATAATTCCCCCAATTAAAAGCTACCGATAGCGAATTATCCGAGGCTATTTTAAAATTTAGTTTAATAAGGGTTATTATAATTACTAGCGAATAGAAAGAAATTAATTTAATAATAAAATATATTAATCGCTCGTTTACTATCAATATTAAATATAATAAGAATTCTATATACGATATAAAATTTATTTTTATAAAATTATTAATTATTAAACCCCTTATTATAATTATTTAAAAAGTAATAGAATTGGAATTCGGGCGACCTAATAGCAGTAAATATATTAACCTATTTATTATTTTGGATATTATTAATTATACTTGTATAATATATAAGAACGCGTTTGCTACGTAGCGTTATAAATAATTAGATCCTAATAATTTCGAAGCACCCGATTTATAGTATAATAGCCTATTTAAATTATTTTCGGGTATATTTAAGTAATTTAATAAAAAGGAAGTACGGTTAAAGAAAGGAGAGGATTGGGAATATTTTAGTCTTTCCGATTATTATAAAGACGATTTAGTTATCGTTTATAATTAAAGTAATAGATTATCCGACGTTTAAAATTTGAAGGACG